TGGACAGCCAATGCAACAGCACCAGCAGCCCTGCCATTTCTGTGTCTACAGGTAAGCCTCTGTCCAGGTCTTCCCCGAGGGAATTCCCAAGCTTGACTTAAGGAACAGAGTTGACTCTACCTCCTCATTCTCTCTAGTTCCCTGCAGTCCAGCGAACGTGGCTACCAACCTATCCTGCAATACCAGTACAGCAATGGTATCCTGGGATGCCAGCCTGGGGGTGCGTCGTTATACAGTGTTGGCTGCGGCCAGTAGGTCATTCCAGTGTTTCACCAACAGCACTACCTGTCAGCTGAATGGTCTGCAGTGTGGACAGACCTATAACATAACTGTGCTAGCTGATGACGGTAACTGCAACAGCACTCTGCGGACAAGTGCTACCATGACAACTGGTAGGGTTACAAGGATATAAGGTTCTAGGCTTTTAGGGGGAAAATATTTTGGTGCATAATGGCTTTTATAATAACTATAGCTTCAGCATGGTAGGGAATGATATATTTATGTTTTCCAGCTCCATGCCCACCTGTGATTGTGAATAGTACCCTGAATTGCACCAACAATGTGGCCTCATTGTCATGGGTGATGGGGAATGGTGTGGTTGACGTTGTCATCCAGGCCTCATCATCCCAGGGCTATCAGACTTGGTGCAGATCGAGAAATGGCACCTGTGACCTTGTGGACCTTCGATGTGGCCAGAACTACACTGTGCAAGCCACTGCGACTGGGGTGCGCTGCGTCAGTCTTGCCAGCCCTGCCTCTTACATAGTTACAGGTAGGCTTCCACATAGAAGCACTTCAGGTAGTTAATGTAGAGGTCCCCAGCCTTATTGTATCCATGGAACTAGTTTATGTTGTACAAAAATTTCATAGATCAGTAAAACATCGGGGGTATTTTGAAAATATATTGAAATTGTATTGTGATGACTGGCCGACCGAGGCATCACGGCAACAGAGCGAATGATGAGGAAGCTTATTTAGGGGAGAACAATGCCCTTTTATTGTAGTCCTTAACAGGACTATAACAGGCAGCCAACGAGCACCGAACCCAAATACAACAGCGAAAACACAAGGTGGTCAGACGCTGAACTGTAAGGTACACACAGGTGGGAGATTTAAGCAGAGGACATGTGAGGATCGGACAGGGTATGCATAAGACATGGTCAAACATACACGCCACATTCAGAAAACAGTCTTAGCCATAACTACTACAATAAGAACAATACAAGGGCTATTTACAATGACATACTCGGGGTTATATACATGTGTTCATGAGGTATACTGGGACGTGCAGATCTCACCAGTGCTACACTATTGTTTATTTTTGAAAATTAACCAGTCCCTTCAAAAAAAAAACCCAGCATTCCTTGGCTTTGTGAAATACTGGCCATAGTTTTATCAGCAATTTTCCTGAAGGATTTTAGGCTTTTTACCTAAGGATTCAATGGGACAGATGCATAAGGTATATATGTACGGACATGTAAGCAGTTCACCATGTTCACACTGCTACAGTGATTTCCATTTCGTAGGAAGTCCCTGAGTGCCCCCCTCCTAGTTCAGTTTCTTTAGGATTCATCAAGGATTTGTCAGGTATCAAGCATAGTTACCCTGGGAGCCAATCCTATGTGGTAGCTTTCAGACGGTCAGAGCAGTTGCACATGACATAAATGCACCTGTTGTGATAGTTACTCAATGTTCCAAATGAGACCACAGATTTTTCTGCTTCATGTTTTCTTTTCCTGCAGCACCATGCGCACCTCAGAATGTTACACGTAACCTAGACTGCATGACTAACTCTGTTTGGGTTACATGGGGCCGAGCAACTGGAGCACAAACCTATGTGGTGACAGCACTGGGCACTAGAGGAGATAATGCCACTTGTTCCACCTCCAACACCACCTGCACTGTGCCAAGCTTGCGCTGCAGTGCACTCTACACTTTTTACGTCACTGGATCTAACTTACAGTGTCGAAGCCCAGCCAGCAGCACTTTCAACATCCAGACAGGTATTGTATTATTTATTTAGCAGATGATTTCACCCAAAGCAAAGTACTTTTTTTGAGACAGCAGGGTTGGACAGTCCTTGAAAGGTGAAGGTGGACTTGCTCTTGTACTTTGGATCATTGTCTTGCTGCATAATTCAATTGACCTTCAGATTTTCTGGTAGAGAGCAAGTCACCCAGGCCTTGACGCTGAACAGCATCCCTACACCATCATGTTTGACTGTTGATATGATTTTCTTATTGTGGAATACTGTGTTAGATTTATGTTAGATGTGACAGGACCCATGTCTTCCAAAAATTTCCACTTTTGTCTCATCGGTCCACAAAATATTACTTCAAAAGGCTTCATCAAGGGAATGATCATGGTGTTTTTTGGCAAAAGCCTGTTATGTTCCTCTTGCAACTCACCCAAGAATTACATTCTTGTCCAGTCTCTTTCTAATGGTGGAAACATGAACATTAACTTTATTTGAGGCAAGCAAGGCCTACAGTTCCATGGATGGTAGTATGACTTCCAGGATGAGTCATTGGTGTATTCTTGGAGGAATTTTTGTAGACCAACCACTCCTGGAAATACTCACCTCAGTTGCAAGTTATACTAATTTTGTGTGACGATCTGAAACAATTAAGTGTGACAAGTACGCAAGAAGAAGAAGAAATCAGGAAGCAGACACACTTTTTTCTGGCGCTGTGTGCATTGCATTTTGAGTCCCTCTGAGTAGCAGGTCTGTTAACCCTCAACAGGAAGGTGGAACAATCCAAAGGAGTGGATATAACAATAACACATTTTGAAAATCTGAAGAGACACGGCACACTATTCACAAGAAACAAGCAAAACTTTCTGTTCTGTTCCCAGCTCCATGCCAGCCAACAGCCATCTCAGCAGACCTCAGCTGTGCCAACAGCACAGCGTATGTCACCTGGGCCCCGGTTGCAGCCGCAGTGCAATACCAGGCATGCGCACAAAGCACAGACAACAACCCGCTCTGCTGCCAAACAACTAACACCTTCTGCACTGTGGTGGGGCTACAGTGTGGGTCGACATACAACTTCTCAGTGCAGGCCTCCAATCAAGTATGCAGGTCTTCATTCAGCCAGCCATATAGCAAGGGAGCAGGTAGCTATTATACCCACACTCATACCCATTCCAAATAGTACCTTTAATAACCTGTTGTAGAAGGCGTAGTGAGATAAATAAAGAGACAGGTCTGTAAAACAAAACAAAGCCATGCCTCCAATTAAAATACTCTCTCCTTCACAGTCCCTTGCCCCCCCAGTGAACTGTGGACACGGCTGTACCCCATGCAGAATGGGATGCAGGTGCTCAGGGTCTCCTGGAGCGTAATTGTCTGCTGTGAGGTGGAGTACCTGGCGGAGACAAGCAGTAGCCAGCAGGGCAACGAAGATACGAGCTCTGTGATGAGATCATATTGGACAAATGGCAGAGTATTTGAGTTCCCCCTGTCCTGCAACTCCCGTTACACAGTGACAGTGCAGAGCAGGAACTTGGCAGGAACCAGCACCCCCTCAACGGCGGTCAATGGGACAACAGGTACTGGGACAAAATGTGCCAATTATGAGTAAATGTAGAGAGACTGATTAGACAAAACTAGCAAAGGGTTCACACAAAACTGGGAGCTGCTGCACTTTGTAACAGAAATACCCAAAAACACATTTTGGAGTATGCTGGAAGTTTACAAACTTGCTTCTACAAAAAACTATGCAGCAGCCAAAAAACTTGCCTCAGGACAACGGAGTATATATCTAAAATGCATTCAATAGTGATTATAAGGTGAAATAATTTAGGGAACAATTAAGTTTACAGTTTTGTGGTGTTCTTTCAGCCCCCTGTCCCCCACTGGGAATCACATACAGCATCAAAAATGGATCAGCCATGCTCTCCTGGAAAGCGTCAGTACTGGCCACAGAGTACGCTGTGTATGAGCTAAAAGGTGCAGCGCTGTTGTTAGTGTGTAACACAGTTCAGCTGCAGTGCAACGTGACAGGTGCCAATCGTAGTGCGATTGAGATGACGGCCATCAACGCCGCTGGTCAGAGCAATCCCAGTACGAACATCCAAGGTAAGAAGGACAATACAGATTAAAAGGCAAAAAAAAAAAACAACTCAATTTAAGATATGTTTTAAAAATACTAACATCTTTGATCACCACCCCAACCCCCATCATAAATCTCACCATTTCATTTTCAGCATCATCCTCTGATGTGCAGATTTCATCTAACTCAGATTTCCGTTCTAACAGATATAACACAGTACCGTATTCGAAGAGGGCTGAAAGGGACAAATTCTTTTTATGAAGATGAGACAGGTAACAGCAAAGGCCTATTCTATGTTTAATAAGACCATGCATTGTAATGAAATGTAATTAATTTATACTGAAAAAAATCATAATGAATGCAATGAACTGTACTCCCAACTCATTCCTAAAAACTTTTTTCTTTTCCCCATCAGATGTATCTATTCCAGTGCTGAAGATTGGAAATGTCACTAGCAATTCCCTGTATGCAGAATGGAATTCAGTAGAGGGTGCTACTAGCTACAGCCTTGTGGTCAGACAGCAGTCCAGTAAACAGCATTCTGTAGAGCTGTCTGTATATGGTTTTAACTCTACAGTGACAGACCTGAAACCTGCCACCAGATACTGCATCTCTGTGTATGCCAAAAAATCAATAAGCACAAGCCCCTATTCTACACCAATCTGTGTAAAAACTGGAGTTCAGATCTAAGGGTTTGTTTCAGCATGTCAGACTAGTCAACGTGGGGACAAATAAAAAATGTCAACTGTAAAGAGCAGCTTCATAGCATTAGATAAAAGCACCTAATGCAAGCAAGTCTTAGGAAATAACAACTTTTCTTGAAAATCATGTAGCAATTAATGTTTAAATTGAAAACCAAACCATCTTGGACACTTCTTTGATTTAAATGTGGTGGAGTGTGATGAAGAACAATTGCTAATTTAAAATAAATCAAACCAACAAACTTCCAAGATTACAAAAATAAACAAACACTATATAAAATGTATTCTTACTTCCATTGTTTAAATTAGGTTTAAATTACATATTTAGGTGAAGTGCAATTTGACCATGTTTCATTTCTTGTTTCATTTTATTCATTCATCTTTACCCCCTTGGTTGAAGTACAGTCTCAAACTGCCATGAGTGATTCAGAGACTAAAGAGATCAGATCAAAATAAGGGTAGAGGTAATGACTCAGCTGATGGGTGTCAGACACACTATTGTTTTTCACTGGCATTGATGATCTTTCCCAGTTTCATGTCTCAATTGCAGTTGAAATGTTTAAGTTGTGTTTTGAACTAAATAATGGTATAAACCAAAAAATAGTGTTGTATCACTTAAGGTAAACAACGTATGAGAAAAATGAGGAAATAACCGGTTAACCATAAAAAGTGTTTTAAGGATTCAACATTTTAGGTTTATTATTAAATATCTCATGCATCCATCAATCCATCGATCCATCATCTACCCACTGATCACGTATAATTTACAGCTCACAGGGGAGCTGGGGGGGAGCATTTTTATCAGACTCTGGCACACTTGAAAAAAGTTTAGTTTTAGGTTAGTGGTTCTAAGACCTGTTTCTGTGAGTTGGTTACTGGTATATTTGAGCATTTCTACTAATTATTACCTGCAACGGACACCATGCTCTGTTAGGACCACGGCTAAGAGCTGTGTATCGTCCCCAATCCTGTTAGTGTTAGGCCATAGTACACACAACAAGGGTTTGGTCCATGATTTTTAAATAATCTTAATTCTTAATACCTCAGCAAAGAAAAATGAGTAAGAACGAATAATAATATTTGGTCCTTTTAACATCCCCCGATGGCCTTTTCCCACACAAAATAACAGTTTCAATAATTCATAAAAACTAAACATTCCAAATGGATAAATTATATGCCTTACCTCAGTATGTCGTACGACCCGGGAAATTATCGCCGTTTCTGCTTCATATTTGAAATTAAAATGCATTTTTCGACGGAGATGTGAGAGAATAAAGTGACCTACCGGGAGTTTTGCGCGCCGTTTTTGAGCTACGGTTCAAACTATAGCGGCTCAAATGGGCATGTCTGTTATTTCCCTTAAGTTTCCGTAAAACGTGGAAACAATACTAATTTAAAACTTGCGAGGTGAAAACCTTACCTCTTTTTTCGTTTTGCACCGAGGACGTAAAATCTAATGGCTCGTTTATAATTCAGGGGCGGATTTCGAGTAGGACTTTTAGAATTTTAATCGACTTTTCGCCATTTTCTAATTTATTTCAAAATACTTACTGAGCTGTAGCGCCACATTTGTCAGGTCGAGCATTTATCTCGTTGATAACCAAGCGAAGACAAATCGAAGGACCGGTGCGAAACACGTAAAAACATCAAAAACTGGGGGGAAAAGTTGAATAATCAACAGAAATGTTTAGATTATTATAAATAGGGTGATGCATTTTCTTTGCAAAAAACGACAGCGGGGCATTACCCGGAGAGACTTCAAAACAACGCAAAATATGCAAACACGGTATTCTGACCGCAAAAACCGAACGCCACGCGAAGAAAAGCGAAATCCCGGTCATTTTAGTTAAGGAATGACGACTGCGTCGGACACACGTACAGGGTTGTCAACTTTGGTCAGCTGGCTGGAGTGAGATTTTCAATTCGAGACAAGTGTGCACACACATGCAAACGCGTTTAAAAAGGGATAACTACTCGATGGGATGCTGAGACCGTACATTCCTGAACGACAGGCCACATTTAAACAATCAGTCCAACTATAGTATGAAATGAGTGATGAAACCCCCAGCCCTGAACAAGTGAGACAATAGTGCTCTCTACTGAACCACACTATTCTTGCTCTGGAAATCCCAAGTAAAACTGAATCAGTTCAACTAGGTAATTAGATAATCTGTAAATATGCAGACTGTCTGTCTAGGACTGGGGAGAACTGACATGAAATGAGGAGCTTGAATTGTAGAATGCTTAGTTTAGGTGATCTCATCCAACAACGGAGCACCACCGCTAAGCCAGCCTAAACCCAGGATTATTGCATTAAAAATACAACGTAACTACCAATGCCCCCTTTCTTAAAAGTCTTTTATTATATATATAAAAAATGGCAAAGCAATCAACCAAACACAGCACAACATCGGTCAACTTAGCGTCTTGTACATTTCAACATGTTGTGGGGTCCTTCCAGAGAGTTTTAAAACATTCTCAGATGTTTATTTACAAAATTTTCCATAGCTTTTTAGAAAAGAAAATAGAATTAATGAAAAAAGGCTCATCTCTACTGTGAGAATTCTACTTAAGCAACCAAGGACTGGATGGGGAGCGTCAGTGTATATCCGTGCAAGATTTTTTTTTTCCTGGAACAAATGACATACTACATGAGCAAATTAAACCAGACGGATAAATTAAGTGGATTTTTCTCTGCTATCCTGCTTCCCATCAACCTGTTCTGCACTCGGACTTCTATTCCGGTGCTTGCTGTCACTGGTGTTGCTTAGTTCTCGGCGGTGAGTGCGCTCCTTGCTCCGGCTACGCTTGTTAGACCTCTCCCTGCTCCGGCTGCTCTTGTGAGACCTCTCCCTGCTCCGGCTGCTCTTGTTAGACCTCTCCCTACTCTGGCTACCCTTGTTAGATCGCTCCCTGCTACGGCTACGTTTGTGAGACTGCTCCCTGCTACAGCTGCCCTTGTTAGACCGTTCTCTGCTCCGGCTGCTCTTGTGAGATCGCTCTCTGCTCCGGCTGTGCTCTCTTTTCTTGGCCTTGTCCTCACTGTCTATTCTACCCCTGCTCTGGCTACGTTTGCGGGACCTTTCACTCCTGCCCTTTCTTTCCCTACTCTTACTCCGGCTAGGCTTCCTCACTGTGCGCTCCTCCCTGTGCCTTTCATCATGCTTCCTGTCTTCTGGCTCTCCTTTGGACCGTCTCTCTTTTGATCTCTCTCTCTCGCTGGCCCTGTCCTTCCTCCTGGCTCGGTCGTTCTCCACCTCCCGCTCTCGATCTTTACGGTCAATCTTCCGATCGCGGCTGCCACTACGGCTTCGCTTGCGGTCTTTGCTCCGGCTTCGCTGCCGATCCAAGGGCCGGTCAAGGCTTCGAGAGCGCCGCCGGTCCTTGTCCACCCTCTCCCTCCGGTCACGGTCTTGATCTCTTTCTGCACGGTCCCGATCCTTGTCCTTGCCTTCCCTCTCCTTCCGTTGTCGGTCTCGCTCCCTGTCCAGCTCACGGTCAAAGCTGGCGCCACGTCTGTCTCGGTGACGGCTCTGACTCCGTGATCTATTAGGTGACCTCCGAGGACTCGGGGTCCTCCTGGGACTCCTACAGTGAATTCAAAATGGAACAGTGCCTGAAATCCTCTCCCCAAAATACTTGTGCAAAACAGGAAATCTGACACAGACCTCTATGTGGAAAGCATGGTGGAATAGAGGCTCACCTGGAGCGCCGGCGCTCAGGCTGCCATGTTGTTTCCTGTGCAGTGTCCTGGTGGCCTTCATTCTCAGGAGCTTTCCTGGGTCGGCTCTTCATCTGCTGGTCAATCGCCTTCTGAACAGGCACAGGGATGCGTGGGAAAAGGGTGGAGAACCATTCTAGCTTGGTGAGGAAGGAACGCAGCATTTCGCCGATCGTCATGACGCAACCTCCCCCGGCTTTCACGTCCAGCTCCTGCAAAACACAGCACCAGGCTTGTCACAAGAAATTCAATCACCCATGTCACACTGTCTCATCTCCAAACAATAAACAGACTCAAATCCACTCCCAAAACTACCTTCCATGAACTCATCCGGTAAAAAAAAAAAAAAAAAAAAAAAAAGTCTAACTTGTGATGACCAAGTACCAAATATTCACCTCTGTTTTCATCAAGCTTAATATTGATAAAATAATTTTAGGATTACACAAATAATTGGTTCCCATCAGACTATATTGCATTGCAGGCTCCACAGAAACAGAACACTGTTATTTGACAATAGCAAACCAACTGCCTTTGTGTGAAGTTATGATCACTTTAAAAAGCAACTCCCAAACAGCTGTTAAAAAAATAAAAATATATAAAATGTCAATATCGCAAAATGTCCGCTAGGACATTTGTGGGTTCGGGGCATGTTAGTAAGCTATTGTAAGGAGTAAACCTACAGTGCAAGCAAACGCGACCATGAAGTTTTGCACCAGCTACCAAGAAACCATAGCTATATGGTAAAACAGTTGCTTGCACTCACACACACAAACCAACTGTGCTGAGATACAATATCCAATTCACCTGCAGCACAAGGGAGATCTAAAGAAGAAAACACTGAGATTAGCCAATTGGAAGGTGGAAAATGTGCAACATCAAAAAGAAAAAGAATGAGCCTCACTGTGCATTTCTGGATGTGACTCAGCATACCCGTGCTATAAGTCGAATCTCATTTAATGAAGTTTAGCTTACAGTGCGTAGTATTTATGGAAAAATTGCTCTTGATATCCTCATAATATTTTCTATAAGAATATCATGCCTTTTTGTAATGTGTAGCTATATTTTTGTTTCATTTACACTTACCCTGACAAGGCCGCAACAGTGGATCAATTTAACTATTTCAGTGCCAGAGGAATGAAGGGACAATTTAAGCCAAATGAAGTCAAAGGTGAAAATCAGCCATATGCATCACAAGGCAGGGTACTGGAAGTAGACTACAAACATGAATTATGTTTTAGAAAAAAATCAAGAAAAAGAAGAATTACCCTTGCTGACATACCTCCTCATCATCAAGGAACGGGTCAAACCAATCCACAAGGTCTGTGGGAGGCTGTGTGTATCTGTTACATGATTTCACAGAGACAAACCATGTTAGATACCCAATACTTCCATTATATTTGAATACATTACATAGAACAGTGTGAAATTACAACATACATCCAAACAGTTTTTTTTTAATTTGTGAAGTTAAATGAAAGTTGATGCAAACCTTATATACATGAAGCCTAGGGCTCTGATGTAGGGAGAGTCAGTATGTGTGATGAGTCCCATCACCTGCTTACGAGTCAGCTTCAGCGTGAACAGTTTGTACAGCAGGCAGAAGGCAGTGGAGACTATGCCACCAGTTCCAACACCACGGACCTTTAACAAAAAGAAGAATTCAAATTCTAGAGAATAATACCGGTCAGAATTACAACCTAGAAAAAAAAAAAACATACCGACACAAAACCACAGCTTTACCACGATGGAATGGCAGAAGACAAATGGAAGAATGCGTGCAGGACGATGAAAAGCACGTACTTCTACTTACCCCTCCACACATGCCAGTCTGACCCGCCGTTTTCCTGCTGCCTTTCTCCCACGGTTCGGCATGAGTCACCTGCAAGTCACGCATGCAGAACACGCACTTAACGGTGACACAGATCACCCAGGCACTCTGTTTTGTTCCGCACAGAGGACAATACGATGATCTAACCTACAATATCAATCACATATAGAACACAAAACACGCCACCGGCACAACTTTATCAACTTACGTCGGTACGTTAAGAAACGCTGTTAGGACCCAGCTAAGGTAATCCTCATCTTTAAATGACATTTAGCATTCAGTCCGTAGAAAAAAAACAACACTGGTTAACCATTAAATAAATAAATCGTCTGTATGGTTGCCCATCTGGGTATTAGAATGGCGTAATACATCGTCCGGGGTGTACTACACAAACGAGTTCAGGACACTAGGCCACCAAACCAGTAGCTATCTTGATAAATGGTTATGCAACCAATGTTTTTAAATTTCTCCCAGGTAACTTGCAACCTTGTCTAACAAAATAAGGACGATCAACCAGGCTATTAAAAAAAAAAAAAACCGGCGTGTACAGATACAACACATAAATCTGCTGACATTTAGCCAACCACCGACATAGCCGAGTACGGCCATTTCAGCGTTAGCCGCTTAGTTAGCATGCTAGCCGGTCGTCACTTGAAACAGTTGAAAACCACAAAAATCGTTACCCAATGCGCCAGGAAGTTAGTCTATTATCACCACTAAGTGAATATTTCACAGTAAATTAAAATAAGGTTAGCCGGCTACCCACCTACCTTGAAGTAGATCTCGTCCACAACCTCGTGGTACGTTTTCAGCTCATAGAGCTGGACCTTGAAATACGGCGACGACAGTATGTTGGTCAGAATCATCGGATTCAGGTTCATCGTCTTCTCGTTGCCCCAGAGAGGCAGCACATTGCCGTGCTTCCCCGAGCCAACGGGCTTGGCCACGACCTGCTGTTGTTGCTGATTCCCGGCCACCGCGTTGGCCATGTTGAAACGGCCCAGCTGGGTTTCAATAAGGTAACCTAGCTAGCTGACGATTTCCCGCAGTTTTACTCCATTAAAAATTCTCAAATACCACCCTGTCTGTAATTCGTTTCAGTTAATAAGCACGAAAACCGATACGTAGAATTTATCAATTCCAGAAGCGTTGGGTTAAAATTACTACAAATCACTACCCGTTCTGTACAATCAGGGGCTTTTTTTCCCCCTACAACGACAGAAAACAAGATGGCTAACTGTGCTGCCGGGAAAAAAAAAGCGGAAAAGACGATTAGCGTCGTGCGAAAGCTCAACCAATAGGACGCAGAGACCGTTCTTAAAGGGACAGGCCACCATGAGCTGCCCCGGACACCGCGTCGAAATCTGCCCGGTCCCATGCCGTTAACTTGCCAGGATGCGCAGAAATAGCATGTCCAAATACAGTCCAACCAGCAAGTAAGCAGCGATGTCCGCACTGTACAGCGTTGCAAACCTTATTGTTTAGGTATCAAGACAGGTGAAATCCCTGTTGATTTTACTCCAACTAAAATGTCTGCAATTTATGCCTAGTCGACTCCTCGAAAGCCGTATGTCTGTATTTTGCTGCTTGCCTCATCTGTACGTCTTTTTGGATGAAAGCATGGTAAAGCATGTTAAATGTTAAAGGAAAAAGCCACACATTTTCTTTAAGATTTTAATTGACTCAACGTTGTACATATGCAAGTGTGTGATATGTGCATTACAATGAAAATTCATATGAAGATTTTTTTTCCGATTTTGAAACTGATACAAGCCTTATAATACAAATGGCAAACTATTAACACTGTAAGATTACCACCCTAACCATTATAACAAATGGACTACAGACAGTTATTACAAAAATAAAAATCTGTTAAAGGTAAAAGTAATTTCACAAATAGAATAAAAAGTGGGCCAGTTGCGTAAACACTTTGTATACAAACTGCTGGCATCCGATGCAGGATGCCTTGTTCCCTGCACTGCCTGGGATACGCTCTGGGATACGCTCTGGGATACGCTCTGGGATACGCTCNCTGGGATACGCTCTGGGATACGCTCTGGGATACGCTCTGGGATACGCTCCAGGCTCACATCCCTATAGGGGATAGGAAGTTACGGAAGATGGAGAAATGTACACAGAAGTAATGATTTTATAAATAAACATAGTCTGGAGTGGTGAAATTTTAATGTGCACGAATAAAGTAAGAACCAGTCAGTTTACCAAACGCAATAGCAGGTCTAAATTGAGAGGTGCTGGATTGGCTGAGAGGAAGGTTTAAATCTCACAAGATTTAAGCCTATATAAACATTTCCATTCCAAAAGGCTTCAGAATGAGGGTTTTCTATGGGGGAACCTAGTGCAAAAGTAATGGCACTTAATGGGTGAGCTCATTCTTTGTACTGGACATCCTCCAAGCCGAAGGGATAGAGGCTTCTGCTTTGCAATGCATCTCGTCATCATTTGTGGCCTGATGGGGAAGCATTACATTCACTCCATTAAGCAATTTGTAGGCAGTAGAAGACATGCCTGCAACTCAATACACGAATTAGCACAGTGGCATACAGCATTGACAAGGGCTCTGACCTCATTTAAACTACCTTGAGCACAAAATGTTTTTAAAAATGTTGTGACACTTTTTAAAACACCATATACGTATCTGACGGACAGAATAATATTATATATTGAACTAACCTCCAACATTGAGACTACATCCCATAATCACCCATTTTACTGTTAATGACAGGATGATTTTATTATTATTATTATTTTTTTTTAGAAAAATGCAAATATCATCAGCTCAATAGTCAACTGGGCTTGAGCAGTCTGCAAGTCTGGTTCTACTTCCTCTAAAATCCAACATCACAATGTTGCCACGTCGCACAATGTAACAACACTTTTTTTTCCCCCCCCCCTTCTGCTTTTACTGTAATTTTGACTTCAAACTCTGTTTATACCCATCAATTAAGGGACATAACATTCCCTTAATACATTAACATTTGAGGCTTTCAGCCTAACAAGACCTACAATTTTTACAGTATTTCAACTTGTTGTTTGGACCCCTTAAGATACTAGTCGTGACACTAAGTAGATTTTGTTCCTTATCAGAACGATAGAGCTTCGGTTTTGGTGACCAAACCAGGATCAAAAACCTATGAATGTCAAGATGATTCCACCACTACTTTCAAATTTCTTGTTCAGTATTTTATATAAAAAAGCAAGTCAGAGATTATTAGAACACAGTATTCACCCCCCCCCCCCATTTCTAGGAAATATTATACAAAGCTGTGGTCCTCATAAATGCATTTCGGACCTTGTAGGAATCTTTGAAACCGGTGTGCAGCATGACACCGCAGTTTAAGGTGTGTCCCACGATGCCAGCTGGCTGACCATTCCTGTTCGCCCTTCCCGATTGCACTCAGGTTTTAGGTCCAACTGGGATGTTTTGGCAGCAGGGGGTGCCATTTCCATCAGTTTTCAGGCCATCACGTTTGCCGACATTCTAAGTAGGTTGAGGTAGGGCACCGGCAAAGAGAAACAAGGCACGACCATCGCCTTTACTCAGACCTTCCCCAGCACGGGAGTTGGAGGTAGCTTTTCTGGTGGGCTACCGCTTTATCACAACCTGCTCATACGCTCCAGCACCAACCCTGAAGCACAAAAACCAGCATCATTCTATATGTACTGTATAATATAGGCAAAACACAGCTAAACAGTACAGTGAAGTAATCTGAGGAACTTTATGAAATGTGCAATAAAATAATTTTTTATACTGATTGTGTAAGATTTGAAAAGTTCAATTTCAGTTTCCACACATTCTACAAAATTCTGGGCAGTATCATGCTCGACAAACGTCTGGTTAAAGTCGTCTTCTGGCACATTGGAGGGAGGATCTCACATACACACCTGGTATGATGGCTCCCAAAAGCAGTGCTTCCTCCTGGGCCAACAAACAAGCGGAGACCTTCCTCTGAGGAGGACAAACACACAGTCCAATAAAAATTAACCAAGGTCTGGGGAAAATACAAAATCCTGTATATTCCTTCATAGCAGGAAGAACTGGTTGCTAGGCAATTTGAAAACATGCAAGTGTATACAGAGGTGTTTTCTGCAGTGTGGGAGGTCTGAACTTCAGAAGGTTCCTCATTTTTATTTAATTTTTCAAGGTTTAAGGAATGAAGGGTGTTGCTGTTAACATTTACCTTTTCATTATATGCAGTGTTGATTGATAATTTCTGCACCCGGCATGTCAACAGAATTGAGTTCAGAGTCAAGTGTGGGCGAGAAAAAAAATTGAGAATGTGGTGGATGTATGATGCCTACAGAGAGCTCTGTTGTCAATGCTTAACTTAGTCACCCCCTTATGTCCACATCCTACATAACTAGTCCATTACTGACAGAGGCGGACATTTCAGCTCCAGAAAGTCCAGACCAATATTTTGTTTCAACAAACCAGTTGAGTACTCTGTGACTGACTCTTTTTACTCAACTGGTTGGTTGAAACAAAACCCTGGTGTGGATTTTTACTTTCTGGACCTGAAAAGTCCACCTCTGATTACTGAGCCGGTCACTCTGGCTGTGTCCCAGTGCCCCCCCCTCCTGTCCAAACACACATACCTTCAGCACTGGAGTCCAGAAAGTCATGGCTGAAATCCTGGCTCTGCAGTATTTTTTCCACAATGTCGTCTGCGTCCACCCTGGTGGCGTCAACCCGCTTTAGTTGGGACTCCATGGAATCCTGTTTCATGGGATGCCTGAGAAGATGCAGTCAAAGGCTGTAGGGATGTCCGTGCCATGTCACACCGCTAGTCTGTTGTACAGATGTGCTACCACTTTTCAGCAAGATATTCAGGATCCGCTTGGCAGTCGCTAACTGCAGCTAATTGCCCCCAGCTTTATTCGCTTCAGCATGAGGAATCGTCATCGGCATTCACCTGTTAAGGCGCTCGCTGGATGAGGTGCTCTTGACGGGCGTGCCGATACCGAGCTGGGGGCCTGCCCGGGGCTCCCGTTCGTCGCTGGGCTCAGGTATGCTGCCGATTCCGGTGGAGGCACTGCCCACTGAAGTGTTCCTCCGGTGCGTGAGCTCCGACATGCTGGAGGAGCGCGAGTGATCTGTGCTGTACCCTGTTAGATGGAAGCGGAGAGGGGGCTCACGCAGACTGCATATGGAAACGTGCCACTCTTTGGCCCAAACTTATTTTGCCATACGTTTACCTCAGGGGTGTCAAACTCCAGTCCTGGGGGGCCAGAGCCCTGCACAGTTTTTGGTTTACCTTCATTTAACACACCTGGTTCAACTCCTTGTGCCAATTACCACAGAGCTCATAAGCTAAATCATTTGTGGTGGAACAGGGAAAGAGCTAAGCTACACAGGGCTCCAGCCCCCCAGGACTGCAGTTTGACACCCCTGGTTTACCGTGGGTAATGGTTTACAATGGGCAATTCCCAGTTGGCATCACTGATGTTCTGCTGTATTTTAGATCTTCTACACGCTTTGTTATTCATCGACTTTACCCCCCTCCCTGGGTGAAGACAGCCATGGCCACCCACACGGTCTATAAAAAGCTTGCCTAAGGAAACCTTCAAGCCCCCAATGCTTGGCAGTGATGCATGATTAAAGGGTTCGCATGGGGATTTCACAGCATCATCCGCTTGTACGTCTGTCACTCGCCCCCAAGGTGACTGTAGATAGTCGGGAGATGATTCTGACTGAATCTAATCAAACGTCCCGGGCATCCACTTCCCACGCTCACTGTGGCAGGCCCCGCCGAGCCAGCTCCCATCCTCTGACGATTTCTCACCACGAGGCGTACAAATGTCTTTAACATGGAGGGAGGAGGTGAGGAGATGACCGTAATAAAAACCACGTAATTGGTGGGGAAGCCTGTAGGTCAGGAGCCCCCGCCAAACAGGCGACCCGATGCTGGAAATAACAGCGTGAATGTGAGCCCCTCAGTCTCATTTTCAGGAAACTGAAAACCGAGCCCAAGCGGCCATGCGGCACGTCGGCTGCTTTCAGATGATGGAAACTGAATCAATGAAAACTCAGGTCAAATTGATGGGAAGCACATCATGATAATGCGCAGATGAGCAGGACGTATGAGGAAGACGACGAGCAGCTGTAATAATGGCAGGAGTTCAGAAGAATCAAAGGTAATACTCTGTGTAACGCTGCATGGATTCAGTCCCACACCCGTTCCCTAGAGTGGGATCGTTTGTCAGGGCGGTTTAGGTCTCCTTCCAAGGGCTACCGGGACACATACCCGACACTTTAGATTGCTGGCTGGCGTAGCTGGAGGTCCTGGAATGTCCACACATGCCAAGCTCGTCAGGAACGGAGGCGCTCTTCAGCGGTGTGTCTGCAGGGTTGGAAGACGTCCGATCGTTAAGCCTCTGCTCAGGCACAAGCCAATATTCAGACTGCTGTCAGGGTGCCGATATCACAACAGACAGGCGATAAGGACAAAAACAAGCAAAGGCCAACTGAGGCCTACTCTAGGACAGCTCACACACCAGAATCTTAATGGTGCAATAGACACGATCCCCTAAAAAGACGACCCACCAAAGGGTAGATTACAGACATCTATGTCACAGAACCAAGTGAAGTAAAATGATAATACAGCTTCACATCTCCTGCTGTCCTTTTTCACCTCACTGAGATCAATCGTTGTCGACGTACCTACGAATGGCTTGAACGTCTCTCCTCCCTTTCTGTCCTTGAGCAGGCATTCGCCCTCTTGCATTCCCACATACATGGCTGTGGAGGGGGGACTACAAAAGAGAGACAGAGAGGAAGGTGATCAGCACCCAGGGGGGGGAAAAAAAAAAAAAAAAAAAAAAAAACAGGAAACAATGAAGGATAAACGTTTGAGTTCCCCAGCTTAAGCACAGAGTGAGAGCCGCTGCACGTACTGAGTAGTGACTACAAACTCTGCTCATTCATCGTCTGTGTTAAAGGCATTTCGCAGTTTTGAAACAAATAAGCATGTGTCAGTGCAGCTGCATGTAGTGAGACTGACGTCAGCCCACGAGCGAGACACTTCTTAATAAAGCTTCAGACTGTTCTTAGCGTCCGGTCTGCAGATTTGGCCTGAGTAAGTTTAGCGGGTAAGTTCTGTCGTTTCATAATCTGAGCTCAGTGTTGCCCGGCTGTTAAACTTCTACTTTGATCTGAGATGGTGGGCAGGATTAAAACCAGACTAAAGATGGTATTTTGAGTCATCCTGGGTTTTCCGCTTTTGTATTTATGGGGTACATCGTAGAAGCTGGCCGTGTTACGGCTTCCTGCTTGTTTTGAAAAGTGAGTTGGAGTAACCCAGCAACGGCGGTGCTGTTGCGCAAGCTGCAAGACACGTCGCATTCCCCCCCGTCCCGGGGGCCAGAGTCAATGCCAGGGATTTCCTACTCCTCGATTAGAGCTGTGTGAGTCATCGCCAGGGCCCTGATGGTTGGGTACGCAATGCGCGGTCGGCCCATTGCCAAAAAAAGGACAGTGAGGGAAAGCGCACTCATGCCTCGATAGGGTGAGTGTTCAGACTCCGTGGGCTGCTCGTTCACAGCAAGCGCGTGACACGGAGGGAAAACAAATGGTCACAACGCTGAAAAAGGTCACATCGTGATGGCACACCGTATTGGCTTTTGTGCCTTACTAGCAATGCCACGTCAACAACACATCCTTTCAGGAAAATGACAGAAAATCCTTGACAAAATACCATGGCAACCCACTCTTGTGGCATGACTCAAAGCAAAAGCGGGCATACAGACCACCCTCTCTCAAATTTTAAATCAGAGCTGCAATTTAAGCAGCGGGAACTGATTTCTGACACCATGCACCCCCACATTTAAACCTGCCAAACATTTCACTGCCTACGTGTCGGACAGAATATGTGTTCATCTTGTGGACAGCCTCCACACTCAACAGGAAGTCAGACAGGCAGCATAATGTAAGCATAAATTCCATTTCAACATTGCACACCCCCTCCACCTCTATTTGCAACTTTAAAGATGCATGACATGTAAGAGTGCTGTGTTCAACTGTATTATTTAACAGCCTTGTAGATCTTCTATATTTCATGGCTCCTCAGGGCTTTCAACCAATCAGGGACGCATCTTAAAATATGGCATCATCCCAAGGAACTTGTGCGCCGCATACAGAATGCTTATGGAATGTAACGATGACAGCAGATGGTAATAAGTTTATGCTTTAAATGGGCTTACGTGCCAGTTTCTGTGCAAGCTTTACTATTCAGACTGAACTACCTTTCAACCACAAAAACGCTTTCCTGAATGATAAAATGGCATCTTCGCGCCAAGATTTTCGTACACAACCAGGATCCCATAGCCTCAGTGTAAAGTATGAGCATGAAAAACTGCCATTTTCTAACACAAGCAAAGCAAAGACAGCATTTCGGGGAGCTGCCCACTCGTTTAGCAAGCTGGAAGATATTCAGTAATTCAATTCCAGCTGAAGCAATACAATGGTCAATAGTCAGGGAAAAAAAGTAACCATTTTCAGCTACATCTGATCCTTGCTCATCAGTTCCAATAAACATCAAAGGCAAGGTTAAAGGTACATAAATAGCTTTAGCATGGCACTGAGCAGGGTGCTTTGGACTACAGCTTCATCACAACGTTCGATCGAACACATCTTTCAGCATTAGTTCCAACCAAAAGCCAACACTTTGTAGCTGTTGTGGTAAATCTGAAAGAGGATACATCTACCCTGCAGACTTCCTCTGAACACAAGTTGCTTGATGTGCGGTTGATCGTTGAGCTGAAATGCTTGTCGCAATCTGTCGGCATAGTTCAACCAAACGCAGACAGTCTGCTTGTTTTGTACGGGTGGGGCCACATATTTCTAAGCCTGATAATGCATTTTTCTTCAAGGACAATCAGACTGTGCATCAGTTTAAGACAAAAAAAAAAAAAAAAACAAAACAAACATTCTCCTCACGTTTTAAAGCACGGGTCACCTGACATCAGCTGCGTACTGATGATCACCTAAACAAGAGAACACAGAGTCATCAGTCATGTGATCATTTTTAGCAAATCATTCTGCCGTGCAACTACACACACACACACACACACACATTAAAGCACATGTTCAGTTTCTATTGGCAGAAAATAACTTCCTTTGTTAAATGATCTGGCTAATGCGGTTACCATCTTTATGTACCCAATGCAAATCCAGAATGCCACATAGGCCCACTGAGGAAACATTACGGTTTGAGTAGCCGGGAGGCGGTGGATGGCTCAGAGGGTTAGGCCTCTGTGCCCGCGATTAGAAGAACGTCCAGTTCGAGGCCAGCCCCGGCAGAAGTCACATGTCTGTGGGCCCTTATCTGCTGTGACCCCCAAGGTGAAGAGCATTCAAATGTACCTGTACTTGTGCAAATGGTAAATAAGGGGTCATATTTCACCAGTTCCACCTGTTTACCGACCTTCAGTATAGAATTATCCTGCCGCATGTGCTTGGTGTCATAGCCCTCCAGCAAACACCTGCGAATGGTGTTTCCGGAGCCAGCAAACTCAGCCAGATTAAGGTCAGCAAACCCAAGCTGCAAGACATAAGATAAACTTTCATCTGATCTTTCCAGCTCTTGCCATTCTGTGGCATGGGACACACCTTTAATGTCTACAGTTCACATAGTTTTGGCACAAAAAATGTTAATGCCCTTTGACCCTTAGCCACACATAGAATACCTGTGATGCTTTAACAGTTAAAAATTTATCACAAGTCAAGTGTTTGTTATGGATAATAAAGCAAACTAGGCAAGCAAAATGAATTACCTTTGCATATGTCTTTCCACCCTTCAGTTCCTACAGAGAAACAGATGAGAAACATTAACTTGCAAGAACAGGACGACACATTGCACTAGCAGTGCTGAAAGGGGCAGGTCTTAGCAGGAAGTTGTACCTTGCGTACGGACACTCTGAACACGCATGGGTCCAGCACCCCTGTGCTGGCGCTGGCACTCATCTTACACAGGAAGGAGAACTTCTTCCTCCACCGTACACAGTTGGCCTGAACCATCTCCCTGGGAAGGTTGGCGATAAGACATACTTTTAAGTAAACACATAAGTAAATTTTAAGTAAATAGCCATAATCACAGTTTCCCATTTTAAAGCTTGTTAATCGCATGTTTGATACTTGACATTCAGAATGGACAATTACTGCATCAATCAAATCCAGTCAAACAAGATTATCACTCAGCTATAGCCCCATGAGCTCTGGTTTATTTACAATCATTATACATCCAAATGGGATAATAACTGTCCCTCCATTGCATTTAGACTAAACACTAAACCAATGGCAATAAGTCAAACTGGCCTTAAACATTAATATACACACCTGCACCTCACATTATGGTCTCACTGCTGAAAAAGGTCAAAAATGTCAGCTGGTTGACTGACAACGGGCCTCAGTATCAGCGAAGCCATAAAGACAGCAGTAAGAAACAGCAACAGTGGAGGTTGACAATGGCGCGTATAAATCCAGGCTCCATCAACAAAGAGGCGATATGTAAAGCTGAACACCTCATAAATCACTGGGTGTTGGGCTAAACAAATACGACCACATTAAAAAAAAGTGACACGACAACTTCTCCATTCCAGTGCATCCAAACGCTGACGCAGAGATTTTCACCATTCAAGCGAATCTCAAGGTAGCTTATCAGCAGAAACGCTGCAGCTTATCACCTACAGCATGTTTCTGCAATGAACGGTCAGCTTTCCTTAGAAACTGGGCATGGAAAGCAATCGCTGCAAGGCTGCTCTGGCCAGACATGGGAAAATCATACCAAAGGAAACCAGGAAGTCTGGCAAAAAAATATGTTCATTTAATAGCACCAATCTGACTCAATTTCTCTCATACAACACAGACATGAAATGAAAAAAAGCCAGGTCTCTAGTACTTAACCCTGTAAGAGAAACTAGTAGTGTAATCCTAAATGTCGAAACACTGGAATGTAACAGAACAATCTTCATTCAATCCGGTCACCAGTTACCATTACCAACTACAGAAACTGCCTAAATCTGCCAAGGTACTGACTATCAGGACAAACATGTAAACCGTAAAGTACACGTGATAAAATGGTAGGAAAAAAAAAAGTACAACCCTGTTTTGTTGCCTTGGGTCAGAATATTGAACAAGTTGATACCAGTTAAGAATCTTAAATTAATCTTAAACTCACTAAAATCATTTTTAAAGTAGTTTTTTTCTGAATGACAAACTACTTTGTTTTTTCGAATTTGATAAATTATACATTTATTAGGCCTAGAAGATTCTCATAAAGCAACGAACAAATTTAATGCTCAAGAGACAACTCATTTCACATTGAGATTTTGAGTCAGAACATGCAAACTAAATATCTTTGACTCAAGAACATTAAAGATTGAGGAGACACAAACACTGTATTCCATGAACCTAAAAAAGGGCGAGAAATTGTTTGAAATGGGGTGTGTGAGTGACTCATTGGGAGTGTGACTGCTTAAAGATTGATGGTGTGTGAGGTTGAACACGTCACGCTCGCTCCAATCCCACAGATCTTCATGCACCCACTGGTACTACAAGTGGCGTCTGTCACAAGGTGTGAACTTCAGAAATGCAGCATCAGAGTCACCAAGACTGCTGACAGCTGATACTGACTCAGCAGTGACTGACGGCTGGCTGGACGGCTGAACGAGCTATGTTCTCCTGACCGTTCCCAATGCATGACACGAAGGACAACGCAACGAGGCAGTTATTATGAGCACACGATTGATTATATATATCCAATACGTCACTCTATGCATTCCTCTCTCCTGTCAAAGCCAAGTGATAGTTAAAGGATTTGAGGACACCCTGTCAATATCCTTGCTATAACCTCCAACCCAGGCAGAGCTTCTGAGTACAAAACAAACTGAATGAGCTCATATAACTGGAACCACAAAACAGGCAAACTCTGGAAATCTATCCAAACAAGTCAAGTCATTTGTCCCGAAGCTAAACCTTTCTGGCATGCAAACAATAATCCAACTTAGCTAAGGCAAATTTTTCATAAGATTGAAAACATCTAATATTCAGGCATACAGAGTAACTAATCATGGGAGAACTTATACAAAAATTTCACTATCCTGGAATGCAAAAAAAGCAAATATTATTTTCTTACACCCAGGTGCTCATCACCACTAAAACATTTGTAATAAATAAATAATAATAATAATAATAATAATAATAATAATAATAATAATAATAAACACATTTTGCATTCTTTACTAGACACCATTTTTTTAATGAAGCAAAAATGCTTATGACAGTAACATCTGGAATAAAGATGAATCATTGTTTGTGTTTTTATGAACAAAGTTGCTATGGCATATTCCCCCCCCCCCCAAAAAAAATATTGTCCCCCCAACCATTTTTAAACATGAACTTAAAAGTAGTTATATCATCATCAGGCTTGACTCATCAACCACGAAGATCAACTTTCACTCTTCAAAACTCTACACTTCAATACTTCACGTTTTTTTTGTCATTTTTTAAGATAATACACAATGGAACAACTTTTAGATTATGAAAGACTTTCCTTTAGGGGCATGTAGTAAATTACTCACTCATCTCTGAAGGAGTCTAAATCTCTAGTTATAAAGGTTGACCATAGAAATAAATGTTAAACCAAATGTTTCAGGACAAAAAAAAAAAAAACACATTCTATTCTACAGAACAGCCTTAATTTCACTTTTCCTCCAACCCATTAGTTCCAAGAATATTAGTATAAAAAACATTAAAGGCAATAGTCATCCTTCTAGCTCAAGAAATTTCTCCTGTTTACTAGTGAATTATAAAGATTCAAAAGTAGGTCTGTAACTGTGTTGGAAAAAAAGGACTTAATATACATAGTTTCATTTATCTTTAGATTTAATAGTTTATATTTATGGTTTATATTTAATTGGCTGATAATCATGGCATTGCTGTAAAAATCTAATCGTATTCCTGACAATGGCTGTCATCCCTAATAACACGCTTTCATCTGCATCATCTGCGGTACCTGACTTGTCATTCTCCTTGAACAGCATCCAGAGAGAACCTTTACAAACCATTTTGAGCTGGGAGAGGGAATTTGGTTTCCAGCATCCCTATATTTAGATCAGTCATGACAGTCTCTATGCATCCGCTGACACATTCTGTGAGGAACAAACTGACGTATAAAGCGAGCCTAGTCTCGGTCCTGCTCTCTTCTATAGTACAGTTTCACTGTGATGCCAAAGGTCAATTATGGGAAAGTGGCTTTCAAGCTACTTCCCAATCACAATTCAACCTGATTCAGTTTCCTCTTTCATGTGTTTCTTTGGCTTACTGAAGGTGGAACTTTCAACTACCCACCTAAAGAGAACATGTCTAGTTGGCCAAACCATTTACCAATAAGTGAAGAGAACATCAAAAGCAGATAGCCTGACAGAAGTCAGTATACTGTTAATTCACCAAATCTAAACGGCAAAAGGCCAGTGTATTAGAATTAACAAGACTGACAGTGAACAATGACTTGATTTACTGTTTCATGTTAACAACTGCATGCAATTCAATAACTTTTACCTTTGCCCTTTTGTTTTAAGACAACCCTTTTTGATTTTGCACACCTAGCAGGATTTTCACGTCACCATGCCCGCGAATGGAACGTCTTATTCAGATTCTCAGATACCTTTATAATGACAGGTACAAAGTCCTTATTCCACAGTGCAGGTTGTGCTTTACCAGTTACAAGACTGAAGCATTTACTATTAATCCATCAAATATTTACAAGCTGTGTGAGCGAGCCTAATATACGAGCAGTCAACAACATCTAAGTCAGTGAAAGGTCAGCATCAAAGACTAATACTCAGGTGCCAACATTTTCTTTTCTGAAGCAATCAAAGCTACAGACATTTCACAGAACTAAAACTCTTAATTATAATAATAGACTGTCAAGTCAAATATAAAGCTTTACATGGTATTACTAAAAGAAAGGTTTGATACTGCACATATCAAGCATTCTCTAATAAGACTGAATAACTAAATGGTACGTTCTTTTATTAGTGCCTTACGTCAAATCCACAGTTAAAAGAAATGCACCGAAAATCAAATATGCAAACAGTTCAACAAAATTCCAGTGCAACAGTATATAGTCATTCAACCGTTACAGGGCAAACACCTGCTCCTTAATCTTCGCAATCCAGTCCTTCAGTGTGTTTCAAACAGGGGTGTGTTTCTCAGTGAATACTTTTTTGCATAGAAAAGCAGGAATTTAGACAAACCATTCTCCATTTGAAACCTACAAGTGTGAGTTGAGTATATGCATTTAGTAATCCCACAAAAGAGAACATATGATGTCCATTAAATATTCAGTAGTGTTTTATAAGGATATAGAACTTTATGCTTTACAGATAACACCTGCCACAGCTACAAAATAATTTTATTCAATTTAAGGAAGTGGTAACGCTTGGCTGAGCATCTCTATCTACAACTACCTCAAATATTTTTTTCTCAGCACCTGATGCAAGTTTAAGGAATACTGCAGCTCCCACACAGCCTTTAGGTTTAGTACTGGCGAATGTACAGAAAACTATGCATTGAGGAGCATTTAAACAATTATTTACATGAAAGGTTTTAGAGTTGCCGGGTTGGAGCAAACGGTATGTTTCATCTAGCCCTGCCTGTCATCCGACGTGGCCTTTGACCGCACTTTAACTGGTTCTGGTAAAAGAAACTGAAAGATGTTTAGTCTGCTGAAAGGGAAGGTGGAAAAAAACCACCAAACCACCAAAGCCATGCTCTCAGGCAAATCGTGCAGTTTATTTGGTCCAAACGCGCCGATGCGGCACTTACGCTCGTCTTACTTTTATCAAATACTGCTATCTACTTCCTCATAAGCATGCAGTATAATAGCAAAACAAGACTCAGCCAAAGAGCACACAGCGTGCAGTAGCTAGGATATGTCTACAAAAATATATCAGCCATTGATTGTTGAGCGCTCCAAAGCTCACAAATATTTTAATCTTAAAACTGTCAGCACGACTGTCATTGTTTGACTTTGCTGTCAAGTACCACGAGCTATGGTGAATTACCATGGCAACGGTTTTCCCCCCCTTAAATTGCCAACTAATGTATGAAAACGCAATACCAATATGACGAAGTGGTTAAGTGACCACATCAACTGTTTAGGTTCTTAGTAAACTCGTTTAGCCATTGTACACTAAAAGTCAAGAACAGTTCTGGGTAAAGTTAAACATCACATTAAAACAACCAGACTGCTGATTCCTTGTATTACTATGGTGAAGGACAATTATTAGACTCTGCGTGGTAAAAACATGCCGCAATTAGATTTCAGGAAATCGTTAAATTTCAGAGTAAACATCACAGACACGTCAACGTTACACCGACTAGAATCTCTAGCTGCTTACCGAGATGATTCGTCTGAAAATCCACCGTCAATAAGCCTGACTTTACAAAAAAGGACACCGTTCACAATGGGAACGGCGGACAGTTCGTCCAACTCGAAATCTACTTTAAACTTAAACTTCTTTTTCTTCATCATGATGAAAGCCATCTACGTGTACAAGCACTCCGATGATACTCTCCTAATCTGAGAGTAGTAGAACAGACAACGAGGTTCAAACACTGAACTACACCCCCACCATCAACTATTCCTACGTTGATTCGACGCAAAGACCAGAAAGCATCGTGTTCAAGGCGATACTTTATTCAACGCACTCTAGTCTGATTGGTCAGAAAGCAGCGTGGACGAACTGTGATCCAATGATAGATCAATATGCTAATTATCTGTTTCAAACCGCCTACACGCGGACGTTGGAACATTACCTAACCATGTATGTCGTTAACTACCGCCGTGGAGTTACGTAGATCATTTGCAATAGGGCAGGGGTCTACAGCGACGGCGACGTGAAATATATAGAAAAATACAGCCAAATTGTACATTCAGATAGTTTATGCAAAATTAGATGTATCCTAGCTAGTGCTAATGTAAAATACTTCAAGATCAATAATAATAATTAAAAAAAACGCGAAACATAATGGCAATTACAAACGTTCAAATCAACTGGGTTCAGTATGACCGTGATATATCTTAGGCTAATAATATTGCTTGATTTAAAAATTGAACGTATCCATGACCATGAGTTTCTATTCACACCTCGTTTTGTGAACAAAAACAAAAGTTGTATGGGTTCATTCAGTCGCTTTTTACTTTTGCAACTTAAGAAATGTCAGTTCGGTAACACCAACTTTCCATTTATGCGTGTCTTATTCAAGTACATCATTCAATTACAATTTATGCGGTTTCTTATTCAATCAAATAATCCAATTACATCTCATGAATCCCCTAAATGACATTATATAATTTTTTTTCGCGTTCCCAAAAAACGCAAGTTTTTGAATTTGTATAATATTTTAATTGGTAGGCAAATTAGGCTCCGGACCCCCAGCGACTCTGAAAAGTATAAGCGGTTACAGAAAATGGATGAATGGATGGTAAGCAACGCGAAGTTGCTTTCTAGTCCGGCTCGATGGTTAAAGATATTTGTGACAGGCCAAAAATTTCTGTAGTTCACGTTTTGTATATGACTACATTAGCTTTGACTACATTGAAATTAAAGCAGCGCAATGCGTATTAATAACAATATAACGTAAGAACATAGTCGTGGAGCTTAATGCGAAGCAGAACATCCACCTATCCATTTTCTGAAACCGCTTGTCTCATTCAGGGTCGCGGGGGAGCCGATGCCTACGGGCGCAATGCAGGGAACAGCCCAGGATGGGGCACCAACCCATCGCAGGGCACATTCACACCTATGGGCGTGAGACCATGCTAAGCACTGCACCACCGTGCCACCGCTAAAGCAGAACAAATCGAGTTTTACAAATAATCATTTGGCTCCCTCTAGTGATTAAGTCTAACACTACATTATACTACACCCAGGCAGCTCATTTCATGACCATAAGTAAGCGCCTCAAGTGAAGCTCATGGTAAAATGAGTATTAAGACATTCAAATTCTGATTAACATTTTTTTGTATAAGTAACACAAGGCGAATGGTTTTGTTTTTTTAAAAAAAGTGAATATTTTTGTCTCAAAAATCAGTTAATTTTATTTTGGGATAGATATTCATAGTAATCTTGTCATATTTGCGGCAGCGTACCAGATATGATTCATGCATATGTGGTTATGGAAGTCGGATGGATCGATGTATGCCGGTGGATCTCCTATTTTTGTCCAAGAAAACAATCTGATTTAGAGACCCACTCTTAGGCGTAAATGATCATATGATATTTATATATTCACAGTAAAAGTAATCTTAAGGACCTGTATTTTGAATTGGCTTCTTATCTTTCTTCAGGTGCTTCAGGTACTAAGTAACTAAAAGATAATAATGTGCATTTACATTTATTATGCAGAAACTTTTGGATGGAAACATTGATTTAATGATTGCTCCATAACTATATGTAATTAGACAACCAGTGTAAAATGAGATTACCAGTTTTCTAGATTTCATAATTTCTGATTCATCTTATGATCATACATTTTGAATAGGGTTCGATGCGTTTCGTAAATATAGCTTTTTGGATCACCAGACAAGCCGTAGCGAGGTGAAATGTTAAGTGTTTGATAAGAATGTTGTCAGAATTGAAATAGCAGCTTCTGTGGTTGTGTTGGTATAGCGGTTGTCGAAGGGGTAAGTTTTACTGATTTTTACAGTTTTATGTGGGAAACATAAAACATAAAAAGCATATATGTGCTGAATTATAGGCCCATAGGTAACGCCAAATGTCACTTCATCCCAGATAGCGTAGTTAGTTGGCAGTCTAGCTAGTTATTGTTGCCGAGTGATTTTGTAACGGCTTAGGGTATTTCCGTCGTACCGCCTTAATCGCATAATGTAGTTTGTGGAGTAGTTGACCCGGAAGACTCGGCAGTTCATAGACTGCGCTGTTGTGTATCGGTTTAAGTTGTTTACTTCGTAGCTTGACCAGTGACATTAAGTGACCTGTCCGAAAAGAGGGTGTTCGGCTACTGTCCCTTTATCTGAAATCGGTTGACAGTCTCCTGGCTACGGTGACGTTTCATATCTATTGCCAAGTAAGATAACGTTAAGCGTCTATATTGCATATCATATTGAATTTTGTAGATGGATAATTTTACATGAAACTTATCGAGGTACCGTTTTTTTTGAGCTGGTAGCATAATTGCCTTATATGGGAACACTCTAGTCTGAAGCTGAAATGGGCTCCGTGGCTCGTTAAATGGCCCTTAATTTGACATTCACCCAGGACAGTTTGGTGTATAATATATATATATATATATAATCTCCGACCACACAATATTAATTGAAGTTAAAATAAAAAAATGTTCTTAAATACCGGAAATGAGAATATTCAATACTAGAAAAAAACATTTTCGTTATAAATATCTAAATTATGTTATCCATCTATTTTTCTTATTCATTGCAGGGCCCGGTGAATCTTAATGCGCTATTGATCAAAGCATTGGTAACTATCTCTTTAGAGCTCCATGCATTTGAATAATGCTGCAATGAAATGCCTGCAGTCTGCATTAAAGAATTACACGTATTTATCAGACGTGTTTATCCAAAGTGATGTACAATTGAGAAAGCTGTGTCAGGTAGTCCCAGGAGCAGGGGTGCCAGTAGAGATTTTGGCCCCCAAGAAAACATATCATATTGGGACCCGGACCAATCCACCTTTGTTCCAAATTTTTTAGGGCCCCTGTCACTCAGGGGTCTTTGAAATCGTTTTCACTCTCTCCCCTTTACGATGCACCTGCCCTGGAGAAAATAAGGGCTTTACTCAGTGGTGACATCACTAGTACAAAAAGTTTGTTTAAAAAGTAATTTTAAATAGTTATTGCATATAGGTAACTTAATTGAAGGACACATTACTAGAAACATTCAGGAAGATCATTTTGCCAAGTCTTATAAAAAAGGCACACCGGTCTGTACATGGTGGCTAGACTGATGCTACTTTGTTGTTCAGGTCCGTCCTGAGCACCAAAGCATCATGGGAAACACCAGTGACCGTGTATCCAGTGACCGCCATGGGACAAAATCCCACCGCGCTGATGGCGGGAGTAGCCACAAGGAACAGGAGACGAGCAAGATCATGGTGGACAGCACCGACGATCCCAATATCTTTAACACCCACACTACAGAGTCAAAGGTACTTCACACATGCATGGTGGTACTAGGCCTGGTATGGGCAGCCCCAGTGCTCTCTAGGTCCTTTATAATGGACCCTCCAAAGAGACTATCCCCCCCCCACACCAGTCCCTGCATTATCACCCAAGGACTGGAACAGAGGTATTCAAACTGTGGGGTGCGCCAAAAAAAGTGGTGTGTGTGTGTGTGTGTGTGTGGGGGGGGGGGGGGGGCACAGGTGAGGGGAAAAAATAATAGCGAACTGTGGGGGCGACCTTTACAAAAAAAGAGACTTAGTGTCCAAAATTTCCTCTAACCTTGTTGAGAAATGTGCAGGAAAACAGTCACATCCTTCCCATTTAGTGACAAGATGTAGTTTTTTTTGGTGTGAGAGTGTGTGTGTGTGTAGGGGGCATCAGGACAAATATACCTACAGTGCCTCTATCTCTCTGTATTTAATTTTGTGAATAATAATGGTTGTCCTTGTCAATTTGCTACTAGTTTACAAATGTACATTTGCTGCTGACATAGACTGTTGTTCAAATTCATTGCTGTCATTTGCTTTTAGTATTTCTTGTAAGAGCTCTTTAACAGTCTCTAGAGAGCTATTCTATACCACTGTTAAAAGCATACTTATGTTTCTGTAGTGTTCATACAGCTGTAATGCAATACAATTGTAAATTCTATGAAGGTCTTGTGTTTTCTAATCAGCTTGCTTTACTTGGCATCTTTTTTTTAAAAATAATTTTCCCTGTCAGCATTTTGTTCATTGCTACACATGAGCCCCAATGAACAGTATTGCTGGTATTCAGCTTTTTGTAGAAACGTGCCACGGTAGATGCAGAATGGAGAGATGGGGGAACTGTGCAACTCAGCCAATTGCAAATACCTGTCAGCCCTCAGGGGAAAAGGAGTTTACACCCTTTGCCCAGGACCTGGAAGATTCCGGGAGGCCGGGGCCCCAGGCTAGGCCCACCGTGATCCGTTGGGCTGGTGGGGGGAAGGAGGTCTACATTGCTGGGTCTTTTAACAACTGGAGCACCAAGATCCCACTTAATAAAAGGTGGGCCAGTTCCTCTCATGCAATAAAATGTCAAGTGGACTTGTATTTGTGTACTACTGTAATAACACATTTATAGTGCCTTTTTTAACCCCTTGAATATTTTTGGCTTTTAGGGAGGAGGTTGATGGTTTCTTCCATATAGTCTAGGCTCACAAACAATTATGGAAATTGGTAGTGCTAATCAAAAAGGGATTGCCAGTATAATAGGCAAGTAATTGTACCTGGTAACAAACTGTGGCACTACAAGTAAAGAGAACTTCGCCTGCCTGCGATCTGTATCAGTAAGGTAGCCCTATAGCTTCCAGAATAACTAATTCTGTCTGCGACCACGTTTCCCCTGAGACTTTGCTGGCAAACGGCTGACACTGGTCAGGGTTCACACATCCTGCAGCCTTGAGCCTGCCTGTCTTCTCAAACTCTGCATTCACAATATATGTTACGGTAGCCAGTTCCTGGCTCCCAGTTAGGATTGGAAAAACGTACTTCTGTTTCTTCAGTCTTGCTAGCTACTCATTTATCTGAGTTACCCTTGCAATCCATTGTCTGTGTGTGGTACTGAATATTCAGCACTGTTATTCCCTCTAACATATTAAAACTCTTTCTGGTGGGATTAGAACCTTTATCATACCACTGTCTCTGTATATTCTTTATTAAGTAATGCTGAAAATCCTGTAAAATCATTAAGTCATTGTGAGGTATTTAAACTTCAGAAAAGCTCATAACAAAACTATTTGTTTCTCCAGTCACAATGACTTTGTAGCAATCTTGGACTTACCTGAAGGGGAACACCAGTACAAGTTCTTTGTGGACGGACAGTGGATGCACGACCCATCAGAGGTAACCTGAAAACACGTGCTGCGGAAAGTTCTGGCATTACCTCCAAGATAGATACAGTTACAAGTATTTGATAAATCTGTTCCTGTTTTAGCCAGTAGTTACCAGCCAGCTGGGAACCATCAACAACCTGATCCATGTGAAGAAGTCTGACTTTGAAGTGTTTGATGCCCTGCAAGTGGATTCGCTTGAGTGTTCAGATACATCAGGTGAACAAACAGAGTCATAGGATTCAATAAAACATTCTTAAACAATATGACAGGCTCTCTTTCTTGAAGAATGGAAATGAAGCACTTTGCCACCAAAATCTTCAGTCTGTGGAATGTATGCATGTCTGTCCAAAAGTTAGCCTTCTTATTTGTGCTGTCAATAGTGTTACGATTTTAAAGGGAACACTGTGATAGACATGAACTGTTGGTCACAGCTGATGGCATCAAGTTAAATAGGTAAATTCTTTATAGTCTTTATAATATCTTTATAGTTCTTCTACTTACCTTGCTCTCCATAGCTTGGGGGGGGGGGGGGTCACAGTGCAGGTTTAGCCATCATGTGGTACCCCTGGAGCTGGGGGTTAAGGGCTTTGCTTGCTTGAGGACTCACAAACATGTGACTGTTCTGCCAAGGCTGAGGCTTGAACCTATGACCTTCTGACCATGGCTATAGAGGCTTAGCCCACTGAGCCACTCACTACCCCCCTTGTTAAGTTAACATGATACGTTATGTTATTTACGTGGAGCTTAGCTTGAATAAAAACTAATAATAGATACTTATTGATCCCTGTGGGGAAATGATCTTCATACTTCCCCCAACTTGCTCTCTGTAGGTGACAGTAAGCTGGCTACAAAGGGCAGCCACCCATGGCAGCACCAGGGAGCTGGGGGGGTTAAGGGCCTTAGTCAAGGACCTACAGATGGTCCAGGGCCAAGCTTGAACCTGCAATCTCCTGATCACAGACAGAGGCTTAGCCCATTGAGCCACATACTCAATTAATGCAATAAAAGTGCAGATGAAATAAGTGTACAAGACGAGAGCAGGGGGGCGGTATGGATGTTCACTGTTGAGGTACAAGAAGCACCAGGCTTAAACGGGTTTTTTGTTGTTCATCAGATCTCTCCAGTTCTCCACCAGGCCCCTACGGGCAGGAGGTGTACGTGTTCCGGCCTGAAGAGCGCTTCAAGGCCCCACCCATCCTCCCCCCACACCTTCTCCAGGTCATCTTGAACAAGGACACAAACATCTCAGTGAGTTTCCCGCGGCCAGACGCTGATAGGAGGGCTCCCGGTTATTTATCCCCGAGGACCAAATTTGATCACCCACACATGACCAGGGCCTGCCGGCTCCGATGTTGTTCTGTTATGCTGGTATATGTCAATAAAGTTTGCAGAGATGAGTGCTGACGGTAAATTTTAGGGGGCTGTAACGGTAAATTCACGGTTCGGTACAAACCTCTGGTTTGGGGTCACAGTTCGGTGCAATTTCGGTACAGCAGGGAAAACAGAATTTGTTTCGAAATCGTGTATTATTGAAACTGCGGACACATTTGCAGTAGGAATAGTTGTAAACCAAAGACAATGCTTCTGTCGGCATGTCTTAAACTTAAGAAACACGTATTTATTAAAAATATATATGAAAAATACATTTTAAAAATCAAAATTGTAAATCATGTCTAAAACCTGTGTTCTCTACTACTACTGGGGAAGGGGGGGGGGGTCATGGACCAGATTTGAATCATCTGTGGTCAGAAGGGTTGTCCTGATTGTGAGTTTTTCTGCAGTAAATAATGGGCTGAAAACATTTACCTTCCAGTGTGATCCTGCTCTGCTCCCTGAACCCAACCACGTTATGCTGAATCACCTCTATGCCCTCTCAATAAAGGTACGATTCATCGCAGTGCCTTTGTTATGCTGAATCACCTCTATGCCCTCTCAATAAAGGTACAATTTCATCGCAGTGCCTTTTGCTGTCATGTCAGATCTCAAAATATACAGTAAATAGTTTTTGCATCACATTTATATTAATCCACATATTATCCATATTAAATTATATAGGATCGATGTGTACTGTAAAAAAGCCTATGTATCACTTATGTTTTTGTGTTCAGGACGGCGTGATGGTTCTCAGTGCTACTCACCGATACAAGAAGAAATATGTCACCTCTTTACTGTACAAGCCCATCTAATTTTCTGCCCTCGATCAGGTCGGCATGTTTGTGTCATTCGTAACCACACATCGGCCGGGATTGCACTAAAAAAATACAAAAGCAGTTTACAGAAGTGTTATAGGCCCCCCTTATGAGCTCATGTCATGTGCTCTGGCATAATCATGGTCATTCTCTGTTTCATTGTGAAGGACCAGGAACCACTAACACGAAGTGGGCAGAATTTGACAGATTTTAACTGGGTCTGTATATCTGAGGAAAGACTTTAATGACCATTTGAAATCATTGGGGGAGAAAGAGCTGATTTCACAACAACAATTTTGTTATGCCGAAACTCAACTGTGCATCTTCCATTGAACCAAATACAGTTGCTTTGACTACAAATTTTTACTTGCCAGCATCAGGCAGAAAAATAGGTTTTCAATTCAATTGACAGCATTTGAATACTGCTTTTTAACTGGGAAATGCAAGAGCCCAGAGGATTTTACCGCATCAGACATCCATTTTAGTTATTTACTATATTCAGAAATTTTGATACATAGAAAAGCAGCATGTTCTTAACTAGAACGTCCTTTAAAAAAAATAAATGTCCGGGAATTCAGCTGTATAAACGTTTTACAGCCTTATACGGCTTTTGTCATATGGTGCGATACCACACACAGCACCAGTGCAGACTCTGTTGCTGAGGGTCATCATATGGCCCACAGCATCCCAGATACGTCCTTCTCATTATTTCATACCATTGTACCCCCAGAATGCATGTGCCACTGGTTTATTTATTTAATATATTTTTTTTGATTGGGACTTAAGCGCTTTCTTTTGTCAAATGAGCATGACCGTCCAGGTCACATGCACGGGATGAAACCACGCGATTTCGCTGTTGCCTTTTTTTCACGATGCTGCAAGCACTTTACCTGTGCATTTAATCCATGCTGTGAGTAGAACAGAAGACTATAAAGGAAGAGTATATAAACTTAAACTATGCAGAATATGAATCCTGTACTGTAGCTTTTTTTGTTATACAATCTCCAGTATCCTCTTGTAGTGATGGCAATGCTGTGATTTGTTTTTTTTCTTTTAATATATATATATATATATATTTATTTATCAAATAGCAGTGTATTTATCTGTTACATGCTGTGTGTCTAAACAAAACTGGGAGCGATATCTTGCATGAGGATTACATTCATGCCTGAAAAGTAGCGTTATGCATGTCTGACTTTAAACGCTGGCGTCATAATTGATGTGTTCAAGTGTGCCCATTCAAAATGCCTTCATTTTACACTTATGTTGCTACTTGTTTTATCTGAGATTCCCATGCAGTTAGGCAACATATTGTCTAATGATCTCTATTGTCATGCTTGTAGGAATCAAGGAAGTTTTACATTTTATATGGTCTATCACAAATCCAAAGACGTTCCATTCATTGGAATATATTTAACCTTGGGGATTTTTCTGTACTTGACTGAGTAGGGATATAAATTATGTAAACAAAATTATACTTTGTGCAAAAACACAGAACGTCTGTATGCTTGTATACTGTAGCTTTCTGAAGCAAAAAAACTTGAATTTTTAAATGCATTTAATTTAAAATATTTTTTAATGGTAAGTAGCATTTTTGGTTTATGTTGATGATGGTTACATGTTTAATATGAATGGTTAAGCCTGGTTCCACTTGAAAATAAACTAAAAATGAATGGTTTGTAAAGGCTTTTATATGAAAAAATATTTGACTTGTTCTAAGCCAGGGCAAACATAATTCAATCACATCTATTGGCCGTTCTGACTTTCGGCAGGCTGAGCTCAAAACATCTTCCTGCACCGATATTTGCCTATAATTGAGTTCATGACATTCTAATGAGAAGAAAACATTTTGAATATCTATTTAAAACGTAGCTTGGTGTGTCTATATTTAAAATCGTGGCACATCGACAAGAGATACAACTCAAATACTGTACCACAAACATAGCTGTACAAACATTATTTGTACCACTGGTTTATCTAATCGGTCCAAAACGCCAAACAGAGCAGAGACTCTTACAGCTGAGAGTGCTCCTTGTTTCTGAAGACACAACCTCCTCTGTGATCTCCTTCATTGTCTAAATTTTACCCCGCGGCACTGGTTGTTTCATCTGCAACACTACTGGGTCGACATGGTTCCACACATCAGATACTATCGCTTTCCACAACCCGATTTCCGGCATCCACATTAGAATAGCAGCAAGGACTTTGCTGGAATAGCATGAGAACTTTTTTAGGGTTGGACCATAAAAAGACATTATAAATAGTCAGCTTTTTTAAATTTAGGACTTTCACTGCCAGTGCCCCTCAGACTTACACCAAGTCCAGGCAATTATCATTGTTTCTTTGTGGCAAATCTGAATCTTGCTGTCAAGATGACTCTTGCTCCTCTAAGAACTTTTGACATGACAGAAGGACTTACAGTTTAACACACACAGCCATCTCAACCATGCTCGGTAGGTGCTAGACTGTGGTTTTGCAATAGGACTAAACGCAAAGGGACTTGTACTCGCCACTCAGACACTAGGGATACTGTCTCTCTCTTCTGAAAATAGACATACATTCTGGTAGGAACATCATGCCCTCTGCAGGGAAGCAGAACAGGCAGCAAAAACCAGAGCAGAGGCTAGACCTTGTTAAGGTTGTGGCTGCTAAAGAATGGAGAAGCTGAATGCTACTTTTCCCCATGGTGTTACACCATGTGGCACCTCCTTGGAAAACCCTGACTTCAGAGTGTCTACTTCTGGGTCGAGTGATGAATGATGAATACCTGTTTTTTCAGTTTCCTGGTCCCCATATGGGAAAACTATTTTTTTTTTTAATCTGTGATTGCAATGAAAAAACGAAAAATGTAAAAACTCTTGTATTTTGTTTGGTTACTTATGGTTAGGGCTGGGTAGGCGTTAAGGTTGTCATAGTTAGCGTTAGCATTTTCCCCATAGAAATGAACGGTCCCCATAAAGATATGATTACATGTCGTGTGTGCGTGCATGCGTGCGTGTGTGAGCGATTGACCGATCAGAAGGACACTGGTTTGAAGCCAGTCTCAGCAGAATAGCCCCATGTCTCTGGGCCCTGCATTTCATTCACGGTTAACTCGGGTGACATCACACCCGAGTTAACCACGTTCTAGTATATCAAGTCAGAAGCCATTTAGCAATACCAGGGACCTGTTTCAAAGAGCAGGATTTCTTTCTTATCTGGACAACATCGGATATAAGGTTCCCCGGTTTAAAAGACCTTTATTTTCGCTCACTTACATTTAGCCCAGACTAACTTAAATCTGACAAGATATCTGACTAAGCAAGAACTCCTGTTTTCTGAAACAGGCCCCAGTTAGATCTAGGTTAATTGTAGGTAACTATGATGCAGCCCTTGATGCCCACAACTTGGGCATGTTGGCTTTTACATGTTTATTCCAGCATGGTTTTCCATAGGAATGATTAAATTCCTCCCCCATGTCTGGTTTGTCATTGAACCACATTAATTCACGCAACACCCAAGTCAGTACGCAGTAGTGTTTAATTCCTACTAAGCCAAAGCTTTCAAACATCTTTTTTTCCCCACCTACACCAGTGTTTCAGAACCTGGTCCTTGGTGACCAACAGACGGTCCTCGTTTTTGCTCCCTCCCAGTTCCGAGTAGGGAGCAAAAACGTGGACAGTCTGAGTGTCTCAGAGGACCGGATTGGGAAACACTGACCTACACAACACATCGATTCACAGTCAGAGCCCATAGGGTCTGAGGTGGCACGCTCACAAAAACATGTGCTTACACGCAGAATATCGCAAGGAGCCTTAGAGGTATGAACCAATCGGCACTTGCTATGTACAATTCATACAACACTAAGAGGTAGGACATCACCAAGACCCACACCGCTGATTCTTTCAACCTAGCATTTCCCAATCCAGTCCTCGCGGACCTGCAGACAGTCCATGTTTTTGTTACTGGGAGCTGGGAGGAAGCAAAAATGTGGACCGTCCATGTATCCTCGAGGACTGGGTTGGCGAAACTGCTCAAACAGCAGATGGCCGACTTTTCCTCACCTATGCGTATGGGAACTTTTAAAATCAATTTAGGATTTGTTGAAATTTGCGTATTAAAAATCCAGAATGTCTGAAGATTGTCAGATGTAATGGGAAAGAGGGAAGAGAAAAGCAGACCGTGCTGTCAGACTCCATATACACCAGCAGGGGGGCGCCAAGACACCACTGAAAAGAGTTTCACAACTAGGACCATTCAGATGACATTCAAAGCATTGGAACAGCAGCAATACATCAGGGTACAAACTTAATACCACCCCCCACCCATCAATTAAGAGAGAGGCCAGATATTTGACTGTACAGAAGACGAGAACAAAATCAGGTGGAAAACAACATGGCACTCAAAAGAGAATAACAATTTTTGCAACTCATGATGTGTCACATCAGGAGGGAGAAATAAAACAAAATCTATTGCACAGCTACCCAGGATATTTCATTTGCATCTACGGCAAACGGTTTACATACTAACCAGCATAAACCAGGAAAAAATATATACAGAAAGCTGATTATTTACAGCAGGAAAATGCAAAATATACAGCAATATACAGCTTGGAGAGAAGCAGCTCACGACACACGTTTGCGTACAACCTTTAACACGTTTTACCAGGACCCTGCCAATGTTTGCAATGTTTTTAAAAATCACACTTAAAGTGACAATTATCCACTTCAGATCCAAAATTTTGATTCAGATTTCTTTTTTTGTGTGAGAGGGGAACAAAGATTTTTCTAGCAAAAATACCATATTGGGGTTTGGCATTGTAGGGTACAGTTATTCCAGATACTCTTATTTGTGAAATGTGTAAATTATATACATTAAATGAAATGTTTGGTCCATTTATAAAGACAAGTGCAAACTAAACAATACCTAGTCAATCCCGATAAATGGACCAAACGACTAATGGTTACCGCCTCCCCGTTCAGACTTTTAGTCAAAATTTCATCAAAGACATTTCTCCACCAAAATGTTGGAGGTGACGTTAGGCCAGTGGCTAATGGTGATACCCATCAGCATGTGAGGTACAGGCTAACAGGAAAGAGAAAGCTTGGTGTAAACAAAAATAAAAACAACAGTACGGCTTTCGTTATACAAACAGCTTTTCTTTTCCACAGTACCACTGCCCCCTCATAAAAACTATATTCCAATGAACATAGATTATAGAGTGAGCTGTAGTTCATTTATATTGCACTGACGGTCTTAAAATAACACTTAGTTCCAGTGTCAGGCATAGCCGGTGTAATACCAGTTGACAAACAGCACTTATTGCACATGCTAATCTTCAGTATTGTACTCTACAAATTAATTTTGGGGCTCTTCTCCATGCCATTTATTTATAAATGGTGGCGAAACCCATTTATAAATGTTCATAAAAATGATATTATCAATACTTGAGTGTAAAGGTGTTTTGGTGCTTTCAGAAAAAAATCCCATATATTCAGTATCTTCAGCTATCATGTGCCATTAAACAAAAAGGGGAAACTTGCTGACTTAAAATATCCATATTTCATACAAACCATATAAACCAACATGCAACATCTGTGTGTAAAATACACACTTTTCAAACAGCAAAAGTCTCTGTGATCTCAAAAAAAGCAAAATTGTTTTGCCAAGCAATGTTCGTTAATTAATTTGGCCAACTGCGATTACAAAAGACAAAGGGTCTTTTCTCTGATCAAAAAAGGCCTTGATTGGGAACTCATCAGTGAGCAGCCACTGGAAGAAAACACTGCCCAGTGCGCTTCCTGACAACCTGCTGACTGACTGCCTGCAGGGGGCGATATGTCACAGATCCACAGTCTGAGCGGTGGGCTTCCCAGGGGATTCCTGGACCTTCAGCTAAGGAAGAGAATGGGGAGAATGCATCAGAAGACAGACGGACAAACTTTATTAATCCCTGCGGAGAAGTTAAGGTGCAAACAGCAGCAACACCAAACATAAACAGTTTCATAATTTTTTCCAAAAATCTCAATATGGAATATTGTAGGCTATCATGCTTGGTTAGCATTCCCATGCTTCCTGATGATCAGCAGGCCTCGACAGACACCTACAGCTTATCGGAGTCTGTTGAGAACACATAAGCCACACAAACTCAGGCTGACGTCCCAGTGTGACAGGCCTTTACAGCAAATCCTATTTCCTGAACTCTGAACTCAGCATACAACTTCACAAGATCTCAATGTGCAGCCAGTTAAACATAAGCGTGTACCACTAACGGAGCAGCCACTTATAGACGCGAGCGGTTATCCCTGTCATGGGAAGCAGCGACAAGTGGCAGGAAGTGACACGTCTAGCTACGGCACAGGAGAAGCCTGCATGCCGTACCTTTACCGGGGTCGGGAGAGGAAGAGGAGGAACATAGGGTGGAAAGCTTGTACTCGTTCTTCTGGATATATTCAATGGGAAAACAGAGGGGAAGAGAAAAAAGACCAGGAAAGGGGTCAAAGGTCAGAGGGTACAGAAAGGGCTGAGGTGAACAACGGGCAACAGTCTCGACTCAGTCCATGGAGGGCCAGTCATATGCTGCTTTCAGCTGCAACCACTCATCTCAAACTAGCAAGTGGTTCCTTGTATTTTGGTGATTTTGGAGACACAAATCAGAAAACCACAATATGCAGAGCTCCCCAGAGTTTGACACCTCTGATACAGACCGTCTAAAAAAAACTCATTTTCCAGCCAAAAACTGCTCCTTCAATATAGATTACAAAGAATGTATTTCATCATACACTGATCATACAGTATCCTTAAAATTTCCCCTCCAGAGGGATGTATAAGCTCTAAGTCTAAAATATGTTTGAATATACTGATTATTGAAGTTTACCTCCAGGTTTGTCCGGGCCTTTTTCAGAACACTGCGTGTCCTCGATACTGTAGTGGAGTACAGGAAGAAATCAGACATTATTACGGGTGACAACACAGTGCCATCTGTACCCAATCTCTCTCTCTTTCACACACACATACACACGCCACGTCAGTTTGAGACATGGCAGATTCCGTGATTAGGAGAGCTGGGAAGGTTATCTGACAAGTAATGTTACACTGATACCAGACTGACGGAATTTGCACAGGAGGAATACAAATCTACTAGAGAGTTACATGGAATGATATCTATCCCCATCCATCCCCGCCAACATCCAAACCGTTCCTATCCCACCCCCGCATGCATGAAAATCACACCCCCTCCCTGCGTGCACCAACACGTCAGCAGTGCAGTGTAAAATTAAACATATCCGTGACTTTATAGCAGATCTAAGAATATGCACAGATGAACAATCTCATTACCATTACCATGGTGTTACCATACATTTTACTACCATCCTCACGGAAATACCGTAAAGATCATCTCCATTCCCACTGTTACCGCAGGAATACTTTTATTTTAATCCCCACTCCAGTGGATTACGGCATATATCCGTGGTACTACTGCGTTCCCCACTCCCGTGCAGCCCTCTAGTACTAACCAAGAGCACATCGCAGGGACCAGGTCAGGGAAGAGCTCAGGAACCAGGTAAGGGAACAGCTTAGGGACCAGCTCAGGGAAGAGCTCAGGGAAGGACTCAGGAACCAGGTAAGGGAACAGCTTAGGGACCAGCTTAGGGAAGAGCTCAGGGGCCAGGTAAGGGAACATCTTAGGGACCAGGTCAGGGAAGAGCTAAGGGACCAGGTAAGGGAACAGCTCAGGGACCAGGTAAGGGAACAGCTTAGGGACCAGGTCAGGGAAGAGCTAAGGGACCAGGTAAGGGAACAGCTCAGGGACCAGGTAAGGGAACAGCTCAGGGACCAGGTCATGGAAGAGCTCAGGGACCAGGTTAGGGAGTTCTTCTTGGAAGGTGTCAGAGCACACCCCACTATGAATATCTCCTGCTACTTTACTAGGGGGAAATGTGAATTTAATAGGCCAAAGGGGGGGGGGGCAAGGAGGAGCTTCCATACTTAGCCTAAGACGACTCAGTTATGGCTGGAAAGCCCCTCACAGGCCATCCTGAGGGACGCGGGGTTGGACTTACGCTGGCTCACAATGAAGTGCTCCATGCTCTCCTTGCTACGGTTACTGCTTCGCAGCTTATCCGCGGTGCCCTGCAGCGCCTCCTCCTGGTCACGAATCCTCTGGCGGAGCTGCTGAATCTCATTCCTCATGGACTGCTCCTGGTGCCAGCGGACGCACAGTAAGAAAACCCACCTAACAGAGGTCTCCTAATGGTAGGCTTGCACTCGTTCTCAATAAACAAAATAAAGTCAATTATACTTCACCAACAAAGGTGCTGCAGTGCGAGTCGTGTGTTTGTAATTCAAGCAATTTGGAAACAGCCAGACGGATCTCCTCTGTGCTGGAGGGGCTGGACCATCTGGCCGGGGCACTGACCTCTTTGGCCTGCTGGGCAGAGTCCTCCCTGCTGGGCAGTGCTGCTCTCCAGAACATTCTAAGCAGAGAGCTGGACTCTTCCAGGATCTGCCACAAGGTTCTGGTGTTGCCCAGGAGGCCTCTCAGGTGGCTGTGGTCCAGAGCCTGTGTGAAAAGGCTGGGGTGAGACCGCAGGGTACAGAGAGAACGGTCTGCCGGTCAGTCTGGGGGTCAGGAGGTCGAAGCGGCACTCACCTGGGTCCCTGCGGGTCCCGACAGGGTACACTTGAGGGAACGCTGCAGAACGGCCTCTATGTCCTGCACCAGGACCTTCCCCTCCAGGATTTGCTGCTGCAGGGCACTGAAGTCGCCGACGTGGCCCACAGCGTGGTGTCCGCTCTTGCTGGCACAGGAGCCGTCTGATGCGTCTCCTTCCAGGAGGGATCGTGGCTCTAGGTCTGATTGGGAACAACGATCCTTTACCGATCCTTCTTTAAGACCCAGATTCTCCATGACAAGCACCACGGTTACACAGGACTCTCATATGCACATGGCACTACTACATCATATTAATTCGTTTCATATTGCTTTGTTTGACTATATAAAATACTGAAATTCTACTTTAGAAAACGGAATTTCCACTAGTTCTCTATGGTAACTGATAAATCCATGAGGATCAGGCAGGTGAAATCGAGGAGTTATCAGCATACCATAGGCGGCAAGTTCAGACGACGCTACTTCTGTGTAGTCGGGGGCAGGCGGGGGGGGAGCGTCACAGGGCCCAGTGTCCCTGACAGGGGGTGACAGTACGAGGTCTGTTGGGGCAGGAAGCAAGACAGACTCAGCAGAGTCAATAAAAGGCAGGTAGGGTCATACTTTGAGACCTAGATGTGTCAGCCAGCTGTCATACTGTTTAAGGAGATGCACTATTTTACCGTTGTGAATATAAATAAAGAATTTAAGCTATTTCAAAAATGTCCCATGGTGCTTAAAGCATCAACATTAGAACCTATCAACAAACCACAGTTTAGGCCAACAACCATGTAAATAAATATTGAATAAAAAGACAAAAATTACATAGGGATAAAATTCCTAGGGAATTCAGTGAAATAATTGGGTTAAAAGGGGTTAAAATTGTACTGTGTGTGTATTGTACATTTTCTTAGTTTATTTATTGAGTAAAATGCTGCCTGAGAATTAACAGGCAAGTTAACGAGTCCACAGGGGGCGCTGGTGGGGGGATTGAGGGTGTCTCTTACCGTGAGAGAAATGCTTCCCATAGCCAGGGAGGTGGGATTCTCCGTGGCCCCCCGGGCTGCCAGGCTGCTGCAAAATCTGCGCACGCAGCTTGCTGTTTTCCTTGTAGCTGCTCTCTAGCTGCGTACGCAGCCTGCGCATTTCATCCAGCAGGTCTGCAAGATCTGCAGCTGCAGGCACCCCAGCTGGACAGGCGCGGCCTCTATAGGCTGGAAGGGAAAAGGGTGTCAGACTACACTGTCATGTGACTTGTGACACTGTCATGTGACACTGAGCTTGCTGTGATCAGTCCTTTCAGAGGTTATCCAGTTCTACATTTATTTCATTTTCCATCATTCCTTCCAATAAATATCCTCTCTTTTGCAACTTTACCCATTAATAGATCCATTTTCAGGATTCAGATTCCCTGTGACCCTGCCAGAGCAGTTGGAATATGACTGGATCGATGGATGGATGTATCCATTTTCCTTAATGTTATCCAATGCAGGGTCACAGTCTTTTGTCACTTTCATTACAATTTGTATTTCAAACTTATTATCCATGATATTTTTCTTATTGTCCTTTTTGCTGACTGCTGACCTGCAGGGGGCCACACTGTGCTCCGGCACATCCGGTCGTAAAACGCCAGCTCACACCTCAGCGAGTCCACAATCTGCTGGGTCTCGCTCAGCTGCTGCTGGAGCAGATAGGCCTCATGCTGCAGCCTAGAGAAATCAAGGAACAGGCACAGTACATGCGGTCAAATGCGATGCCTGCAACAACACGCACACTCCTGCAAAGCCCTGAAACAGTTACATTGCTTGTAATGCGATAAGATGCGATCACGTCTATTCATCTCACTAATGAGACCATATGCAAGGAAGTTGCATGTAAAAGTCACCTTTTAACGCGCTCCTGGCTGACTTCCTGCTCCAGCTGCAGCCGCTGCATCTCCAGCGCCTGATCGCAGCTGTGTGCCTGCAGTCGCTGGAGCTCCTCCTTCCACTGCTCCGCCTCTAACTCTGCTTCCTTCAGCATGGGCCGCAGTTTCTCTGCTTCCTGGCAGGTGTCTGTATGACATGGAGGCCAGACAGACGTTAGGTACATGAACCACCTTTATGTTTTGACCCCACTAGGATGGTGGTCTTGGTTTGCTTTGGGGGTGAACTGAATCTGTTTTTGAATAGAGAGCACCATCTAGTGGTGTTAGAAAATATAGCAAATGGTTCATGAAGCTTCATTTGGTCATCACTAAGTATAGCATAATACTCCTGATGCTTGGCTGATGGCTTGGCGCATGCTCCCCATTTCCACAGGCTAGATCACCTGACTGTGATTTTGATGACCATCTCTGCCTTATTTTACTATCAACCAGAGGTTCATCTTCCAAGCTCTTACCTCTGCTTGCCTGCAGCCGGGCCTGAAGAGCAAGGTTCTCCTCTTTCAGGGCTCTGATCTCATTGGCCAACGGGGTGAGGGATTCCAGTCCTTGGATGTAGATGTTTGTAGGTGCTACTGTAAGCGAACAAGTCATACGATGATGGACGGAAGGGATTACAGCCAATGGTCAACTGACCCGAGGTAGCCAGACCACCCTCTTACCGCCATCTCGGGAAGCTGTCGCCAATCTTTCCTCCAGCTGATGGCGAAGTCGCTCGTTGGCGCGGATGGAGTCCTCGAGCTGCTGCCTCAGACCCTGGACTTCCCTCAGGAGGCCCGACGGGTCTGGAGAGGCACTTACACACCCACCCCCCTGCACAGGACCGGTATCCCATGAAGCACTGCTCTCCAGCAGGTTAGTGAATGCATTCAATGTGGGAGTCCCTTCGGGGACCCCAAATGATGCTGGGTGAAAGGCATTATGGGACATGGGCATGTAGGTGGTGGGTTCCGGGTGGGATTGTGGGACTGGAGGGAAGCCAGGTAATGGATTTGGCTGGGACAGTGAAAAGCCTGTGAATGGAAAAGGAAAAATCAACCCAGATCGCAATGAAATAACAAGCAAATTATGTGTCAAATGCAGAAAATTCACTAAACTCGGATACCTTTGTCTACTCAAAACTCTTGTATCATCATTCAGTGCAAGCAGTTTAGATAAAATGGGATCAGATTTTGACATGCATCACTTATCTGGACAAAAGTATTTGCCAAAAATGTAAATAGCAAATATGTAAATACCAGTAATTTTTTCCATGGTTTACATCAGATAACATGCAGTGAGTGACTTCACCCTTTTAGTGGGGCAAATTCGTTCAAATTCAGTCAGTGAGTCTTGAGGAAGGCAACACTGGTTAAACTGCCCAGTATTAGACTGGGGGGTTAATGCGCATCTTCTGATCACATGACAGGTTAGTGCTTCGATGCTTATGTTGACAGAAGCAACAACACCGAGCAAACAGCAAAGTGATGAGATGATCCAAGAGTCGATCAACGGGCAATAACGTAAGATGCAATGACCCATTTGACTGACAGGTGGCAGCAGTTTGCCATGCCAGGTGTGTGTGGGGTGGGAGGGGGTGTGGGGAGAGGTGGGCATCACAGAAGCTCACTTTCTCCCAGCTGCTTCTGCAGCATCTGTAGCTCCTGGTGGGCGTCGGCCAATGAGAACAGGCCCACACCCTGAAGGGGTGAGTGAGGGTCAAAGGGCATGTTTCTGCTCTGACCTCGGGGGTTTGGGTAGTATTGAGACTGGGGAATGGGGAGGGAGCTGGAAATAGGGCCACAATATCGGCCTGGAGACAGGGAACAGAGAAAGGAATGGGCTGGGCAAGGGTTCTGCAGACTAAAGTTCTCCGAGACCAAGATAAGATCTCAGATCTAGATTCAAGTAGACCTTAGACATACAATGTATATCCTAAAGGATTGTCTTAAAGGCAACACTGGTCAAAAAAATGAGGAATACGGCTGTGCCACCTGAAATCACAGCCTACCTTCATCCTGACTCTCCACAGGCATGTACATGCTGGTACAGCTGGAGGACTGAGCCACATGAGATGGAGAAGCGGACGATGGGATGCATGGGTGCCATGTCATGCTGCCACCACAAGGGGTGGTATCTGAAAGCAGAGCGTGAAACTGGCATGGAGACGCATCCTTCACGACAATGAAATAGCCGCTTCTACTAGTTTTGATGGTAAGACTTCATTTGATGTCGGATATAACAGAGCACCTTATCCAAACAGATTATGACAGCCTACCATCTACGTATCTAATTGGTTCTTACAAACTATGAAAAAAATGTAATGCCGGTTCACCCCCAGTGGTCGGCAGAGTGATGTCACCGTTGAGCCCTTGAGCAGGGCCCTTAACTGTAACTGCTCCAGGGACTGACTGACTCAGTCACATTGGATAAAACTGTCTGCTAAATATATATTATGTAAATCTAAATGTAATGTCACCAATTGTTATTAAAAATTTTATTCAAGAATTGATGTGTTTGCAACTATTGTCAAGAAATGCCTCTTACAAGAACTAGGATACACTGATCCAGGTCTTTTTTCTAACTACATGATCCCACTTTCTACCTCTTTTTTCATATGAACTTCCATTTTTACTCAGCAACAAGAAGGCACTTCGCTACCTGTGCTGGATGTCCCAGGTCGCAACTGCCGGACCCGCTCCTCCCGGCCACACTCGCTGGCCACATCCACGTCCGAGCCAAGCTCCTCGTTCGTGGAGCCACGCTCGCTCGAAGCAAAGGAGGTCCCATCCGATTGGTCGGTGGTCTCGGAGGGGGCGTGGCAGCTGGAGGGCGTGTCGGTGCGCTGCAGCTTGGAGTGAAGAGACTCTATGATGTCATCATTCTGCTGGAGCTCCTTCCTCAGCCTGCATATTTACCGAGAAACATGGTAAATACTGGACACAAGGCCAACCCACAGGGTCATGCTGGTGAAAGGTAGTGTTGGGGAAGTCAATCACAAAAGTAATCCATTAACAATAATAATAATAATAATAATAATCCTTTATTGAACATTGCACAAGGAAGCACAGGTACATAGGGATTCATCGCCTCGCCTACCCCATCTTCCTCTTAGGGTTAGGCTTAGGGTTAGGGTTAGGGTTAGGCAGGGGACCCTCCGACCTATGAGCTCAGCTCCCATTGGTTCCTGATAACCTTACCTGCCATTTTGATGTCTCCCTCAAAGTTCAGATGAGGCCTCAGCTGATTACGAGTTTAAAGAAACTTCTGTTCCAAGTAAGGTTACTATGCTACATACGCCGAATCGTGCCAAACAGATTCACTATATAATAGATAATATGCATATTAAAACTGTAAATGCTGGCAAAGAAACACCTTCTACATCCATAATTGTCCCTGTCATCTTATGCTAATATGTATTTCGAACTGAATCAATGCAACCTAAACGCAATGATGCCAAGTAAAGCTTCATTCAAGTTCTGGTAACCAAAAGAGAAAAAATACATTTTGATCTTGGTCTGTTATTGCCTGTTTTAGCCCCTGGGGATGCTTTGGAGGTCATTTGTCAGGGCATGGTTCATTTGTGACTAAACAGAGCTGAATGAAGAAAATCAACTGTCATTGAGCGCAAGAAATGCTTCCATACTAGATGGAAGCATCTCAAATAAGACTCAAGCATTCATGAGACATCGATATGTCAGGATAGCCCACCTACTAATGTCACGTCTACAGCAGCCCGTCTGCAGAAAGAGTGCATGACAAACCGAGAAAAAAGGGTAATCAGCTGCAGGGCGGCGCAACATGCTAAGATGTTAGCTTTAGTCAGACCCCTAGCAGACAGTGCTAACTAAAGCTACATGCTAACAGGCTCCATGACAGCGTGCTGTAAAACTCGCCTGAGCGACAGCAGCTCGGGCCCCATCTTGTCCACTTGGAGATCCAGGTCGTCCCCTGTAGGCAGAGGAAGGCAGGAAGAAAGATTTCAAGAGGTATTCATTTGGTTTTCTGCCGGTTTCATAGTGTGCCATTTCCCACCTTGTCCTCCACAAATTACATACAATATTCTAATACACAAACCTTAATTAACTACCTGTATTGCTATTTCTATTAGAAATTGAAAGCCTAAACTGTCACTCATAAAATTAATATCCTCGCCTTCTAAAATCAAATACTACTACTACTACTACTACTACTACTACAATAATAATAATAACAGCAACAACGTCCTTTGGAGGTCTTTGATTGGAAGCTTATACATCTGTGTCACTGAGGGAGGGCAGTGGGTTGCCATAGTGACTCACGGCCGCTGATCTTGGCCCTGACGCGGCTGGCCAGCGCCTGGCTCCCCGCCAGTTGCTCGCGGAAGCTCTGCCCCATGTAATAGTCGACGTCGTTGCCTCGCAGCAGCTCCTCGAAGGCCTTGGTGGTGTCGTCCAGGTGCTGGGCCAGGGCGTGGCAGATGCCGCAGCCCTCGCGCATTCGCTGGCGCAGGTGGGAGAGCTCGCGGGCCTGAGCCTGGATCAGGGTACCATACTTCCTGCAGGGGGCAGCACAGGCAATGTTAGCAAAGCAAGCTTTTGCAGTACAGATGTGAAGGGAATCTTGGACCTTATTTTTAAACCGTTTTGGAGGTCAGACTAAATTAAAATGAATGTGAGACTCACCCCGGCCAGGTGGCAGACTTGACATCCTCCATGATGCTTTTGTTCTTCAGCTGTGACTCCAGCAAAGCTACACGGGTCCCCAGCTCCTCCAGCTCTCTTCCAGGCCCCCGCTTGAACGGCACCGGCCCGTCCGACTGCCAGCCCTCATCCTCGTCCGGGCCGCCGGGGGTAGGCGAGGCCCGGAATGCCCAGTCCACCTTGCGACGCGGCCGTTCCAGGCTGGAGGCATAGTCGCTGGTGGTGGAGAGCGAGCGCATGCGTGCCTGCAGGCTGCGGATGGTGCGGTGCGCGCGTGACAGCTGGATCCGCAGCTCCTCTGCTTCCTCGCACTTCCCACAATCCCCTGCCCACCACTGTGCCCCGTGGTCCTGCGGTGGTGGATCAGCACACATCTCCAGGTCGTCAAACTCTGAAGAGAGAGCAGAACATTATTTTGAAAATTTGTACCAATAAAATAAAGTTCTTTGAATGCAAATACAATGTGAAGCACTGCCCCTAGAGGTCATTAAGTATACTGCGACCTGTCTTACCCGGGCTGCTCATGTCCTCTCTTTCGGCTTCATTCTCACTACGGCAGGACGTCTCATAGCCCAGGTCCTGCAGGTCTACCTGGACCTGTTTGCTGTGCTGCTCCACTGAGGTCTCAGCTGAAGGCAGAGAGGATCAAAATTAGTGCGAAGACAGGACTCGTTTGACCCGTGTGTGCACGAGCGTGTGCACGAGCGTGTGCACAAGCATGTGCACGCTCACTCACACAGCAGCTCCCTGTATTCCTTCAGCTGCTCCGACTGCGCCAGCACCGTAGCCTCCGACACCATGAGTCTCTCCTGCAGTTCGCGGCTCTCCTGCCGGCTTAGTGTCAGGTCCGTACGCAGCCGCTGTACCTGCTCCTGAAGCCCCGCCTCCACGTGCTGCCAGAACCCGCCCTCAGCCACGCCGGGCTCCGCCCCCTGACACAAATGGGAGAGAGCCTCAGATCCTCTCTCCATATCTTGTTTCCATTAACCCATATCAAACAAAGATCTCGCCTTCCACAAAGCCACTAAACTCAACTGAAATACACAGAATGAGACATACATTTTCTGATATGTCATGAAATATAATTTACAGTTCACAAGATCAGGCTACATGTTAAAAAAAGCTGTCGGTCTGAAATGAGATAATGCTTTATTTTCCCATTTGCATAAGGACACGTACATTGGACACAGACCCCATCCTCTTATCCTGTGAGATATACACACATACAGCTCTGGAAAAAATTAAGAGACCACAGCAAAATTTAGTTTCACTAATTTCTCAATTTATGGGTATACTTCTATACAAAATATATATATTTTTTTGTAACCTCCAGCCTGGATATTCTCTGCTTCTCATCAATGAAGGGCTTCTTCCTTGCTTTATGGCTCTTCAGTCCTGCATTCAGGAGCCTGTTATGAACTGTCCTAGCAATTATCTTCACACCTGCACTTAATATTTCCCATTCTTTTTGAAGGTGACTTGAGGTCAATGTCCAATTTATGAGGCACTGCCTGATAAGCTGACGGTCATTAGAAAGTCGCTTCCGCCCTCTACCTGGCTGGTTTCTGGTCGTTTCCAGTGTCTCCTGCTTCACCTTGTTCTTATGTACTGCTGTCTTAGAACCTTTGAGCCTGGAAGCATCCTGCCTCACAGTATAGCCTCTGCCAGAGGAACCAGGATTAAACCAAGATTTAAAAATGCAGATTCTTAAAAAAATATGGAGTGGTCCCTTAATTTTTCCCAGAGCTGTAAATACAGTTGAGAACGAAGCCTGGTAGTTTACAATCATTCCTGGTTTAGTGACCAAGTTCTGTTCCAGCGACCGAGTCGAAACGGTCGAACAGGGAAAAACATGGTGGCCGAGACGTGACCACGGCTGTGCTACAACGCCAGCCTTCCATGACCAATGTTTTTATCCTTAATGAAGTAGACATCTTCAACAATATTCAGTATACTCAGTATCACTGCTGTATTTATGACTGGTCGCTAGGCAGGTAGTCGCTAGATGAGGGGTGACTGTGTTTGTGGCATTAACAGCTTTGATAATGTCCAGCAGAGCAGTACCCTGGCCGCACTCACCTGGGCTGTGCTCTCCACCGGGCCCTGGGACAGCAGCGCCCCCAGGTCCAGGGAATGCGGCCGGGTACACTGCCTCTTCCCCCGGCCCCTGCGTAGCTGCACCCTGGGGGCACAGCGTTTGCCCTGTGTGGGGTTGCCCTTTGTCTGCTCCCCCACATCCTCCTCCTCCTCTCCGTCCTCTTCTTCCCGGATCCCATGTCCCTCCGAGCTCCTCCTCACCGTTGCACACTTCTCCGAGCTCCACCTCTTCGCCTTCCCGCTCAGCACCCTCAGCTCCTCATTCTCCTGCCGCAGACCCAGCAGAGCAGCCCTGCGACACAGCGCCACTCAGTCTCCCCATCCCCACGCTTTTATAAAGCACCTTTCCTAAGATGTATTTTTATCTCGAACCCTGTTACCAAGCGACGACATCTCAACCAGCGGAAAACAATGGTGGACAGGAAAGCAGTACTTCCTGTGGTAGATATCCTCCTGAGATTCAGGGGAGAAATGTTTTTAATATCGATTAAAATATTCATTTGACAGGAAGTGGAAGTTGGCACGTTCACACCCCCACACATGTGATGTCATCATAAAGGCCCTAAGTGTCCTCTTTAAGGAACAACAGGATTGAACAGAGTGGCATGCATAGTATGAGAGATATGAGCAAAAACAATGTGCTCTATAGAGGAAAAACATTCATTGCTGAATCTCAGGGGGATATAGGAGGAAAAACCCCTTTAGGAGTCTAATGCAAGCTGTTTTCCCCAAAGTGTCATACTAGCATTATACAGAAAACTGTATACAAGTGGTACACTTTATGATGGCAGTGACACTGTACCTCATCTGTGACAGGGAGGTAAAGCCACACTTCTCCAACTGAGTCTTCAGCTCTCCCAGCTCCCTCTCCACCGTCCTCTTCTGGTCCACCAGCTGCTCCATCTCATGCCTCCACTCCGCCAGGCCCTGCCCTCCCATTGTAGAATCTTGGGATAGCATGCCGTTCATCGGTCCTCTACGCTGGTCACCCAGTTCATGGGTGAGGACAGCATTCTGTTCACAGGAGAGAAGCAGCCTGAGATGTAGCCCCAAGTAAAAAATCACCAGAAAGGAGGAGGTCAAACCTCAACGGTGTAAAATGACAACAGGATTTATGTCTCCAAAATTATTTTTGTCTGACTATGTGACTCGCATACTTGTGGAAAAACACCAAACAACATTCGAGAAGCTGAAGATTTACTGCGGACAGAAATAGCAGAGCGATGATTTTCATCAAACTTTGTAGAAGTAAACAATACCTGTTGGAACAAACCCTATCAACTGTACAAGCGATCTAAAACCAGCATATACCCGCCAAATCTCTGTAATAATAATGCTGACCTCATGTAACCCTATCAAAGGTGGTGTGTGTGTGTGTGTGTGTGTCTGTGTGTGTGTGATTACCTGTGTTGTGCTCAGGGCCACAGCAGTCAATACAAAGTCATCCACATCCTCAACGCTGTCTATTAATTCACTTCTCTCATCTTCCTCCTGTGCTTCCTCTGTGTTGAGCTCTGGAAATAAAGGAGATATCCCCTTTAACAGGGGCACATGACCGTCCCTTTGCTGAAAGGATTTTCACTCAAGTCTGGAAAAGAGCTGAGCTCTGTTTGGCTGCCAAAGAAACAAAAATAAATAATCCCAAACACCACAGTCCTTAGTATGGGCACAACTAAAAAGAAAAATGACCACAGACCTGTTTTAGTCAGTACAAAGAGAGATCATCCAAAACGGCTTAGGACTTGCGATTTAACACACAAGATCGTCATAGATGTCTACTGAGCTGTTTCTCAGGCAAAAAGTAAAATCGGTGGGAATAAAAGGATGAAAAGATCTTGTGACTGTCGGCCCGGGCAGCTCTCTGGGCTGCAGTCACTCTGGGCTGCAGTCACTCTGGGCCCAGCCCCTCGCGGGAAACGCCGGGAGGCTGGGTCTCAGCAGACAGGCTGCGCCGTTTCCTGCTGGCAGGCGTGGAGCAAGGACGCCTAAAATGGAGGAAGGTCCCGGAACGCGGCTATGGGAGTTACATAAACATAAACACTCAGCGTCCCGAGATAGCGCGAATATCAGGGAGTGGCGATCCTGCATTATTATTAACCAAACCCAAAGTCAAAGCACGACGGGTTGTGGCTGCTTTGTTAAAAACTGACAAACACTGCCAATAAATACAGCTCTCTTTCATTTTAACTGAGCCATATAAGAATATTATCCCAAAAAAGACCAGAATTTCTTTGCAGGAATATGTTAAGCATACAAGTTGTACAGATCCAGTAAACTGACAGAATACTCGTTTTTTCCCTCAGACATAAAAGACATCAAAGGCTTCTTTGTACTGAAGGGAAGACGTTTGCACACTGGGGGAGATGTTTTCTGGGCACAGTCATAGTATACCGAGGCGTAACAGAGAGCTCTATTTTTTTCTGCGATACTAAATACGGCTACTTTTAGCAATATAAATATTTAATGACAGTATAATGACAAAAATCAGTGTAATATGGGAATAATTAAATGCAAGTACTGGTATCATATAGGATCTGGGTCAGTCTTACAGGTTAATTACGAGGGCTCTGCAGAGTGCAGTTTATGGTTGCACTTTAATATAATTTGATTGAAGTTAAATGCTAATGCTTGAGGTATTTGGTGATATTGTTAGAAGTAGTAATTCAAAGCTCAGGAAAGAAACTTGGAGCTCTTGCTGTGGCGCATATGTAAGTGATCTCTCTGTATTCACATTTAGAATCCACTGGGTACAGGGAGGGAGGGTCATTTTAAAACTACACAGTACAGTTTAACTGTTTATCTGCTGTGGTCCAAGCAACAGAGGAGGTGGGAGCAGGACATTTGTTTGGTTGGTCCCGCCTCCTCTGCAATCTGATTGGTTATCCCTCTGAACCAATCATGTTTTTTCAGTCTGCCCTCAGAACATTTTTGTGTATGTAAAACTCCCATGAGCCCTTTGCTCATTCAAGACTCATAAGCTACTTCCCTGCAAAGCTTTCTGGATCCAAAGCGTTCACTTACCAAACACATATTGCTGTAACTCGTACAAGAGGTTGAATTTGAGTGATTGTTTCCCCCCACATGCTCTTTTAAATAAATAAAACCTTTTTTTTGTTTGGATTTCAAACTTAAAGGATGGTTGCACAACATATCTGGGACCTAAAAAACATGCAGGAAGCTGATTATCTGTGTGTGTCAGGCCAGGGGTTAAATTCCATCTGTGATTTCCCGACGGCGTCCATTTTTACCAGTACTGTATTATACAATGGTCATAGTAATAAAATCATAGCTATGGGCTGGCATACATTAAAATCGATGGATGAATTACTCACTCAGAGTTTAATTTATTTAGTCCTTCAAACATACTGGGAGGAGATTGTGAGTTTCTTCAGCAAAGTGTGTCCATGGTTGTGGTCAACTGTGTAAATTGGATCCTGCAAACTGCATATATATTTGGTTCTAGAAACAATAAGTTTATATGTATACATTTTATTGAAAAGATAGTTTCGTAGGAAATCCAAATCTTTGAAATGTTCAACCCATTTGGACTTTTGTATTTTTCCAATAATTGCATTTTCAAGCAATATATTACTATATATTTCATCATACATGTTTTGTCATATATGTTTCATCATCTTTTTATTCTTTCATCATTTTAAAAAAAAAATTGGTCTTACCCATTTGTTGACTGTTTTAATCATTGAAAAATATCCTCTGCTGATCCAGTTGTTCTTACGTAAACTTGTGCGTAATAATACAAGCCAAATAAAATGACCATCATTTAATAACCACCAGGCAAAATAAAAGCTCTGTTAGTCACAGAGACATACCCATGCGGTCTGGAGTACCGTGCAGACTGTCATGCGCAGAAAACCACACACTGTTAACATCACAGGTCACTATGCCAAAGAATGAAGATGCGTGAGCCTGCAGATGAGGCTTCATCTCTTAATGCGATGAAAGTAACTGAAATGCAGTTACTGAGGTTAGATATCTGAGGAAAACTCAGGCACTATGATGCTAAGATACCGTTAAACTCCTTAAGGCGAACAGAAACAGCAGTCAGAAAGTAAGTGGACATTGAAAAGAACAAGAGATAAAGGGAGAAAAGTCTATAAAGGAAGAGGGAGAGAATTAACATGTAATGATGTCAAGGTGGCAAGGATGCTTCCTGTTCAGCAAACAGTGCTTTGCCATGGAAACCAGGAGCCACACAAGCAAGGGACCCCCACTGATGGGGCTTTGAAAGACTAAAGTTCATTATCGGAAAGACTAAAGTTCATTATCGGAAAGACTGAGACAGCGACAAGCAGCTGTGGAACCACAGGACTGAGGTGGGAGGCATTAACCTTAAACTGGAACGCATGATGTCACTATGGATTAATGTAAACATGGAATTACAGTTTCATTGAAAGCCCACTTAGTTTGCTGTGTCTGCTTGTTTAAACAGTGGCAAGCAGGCACTAAAAGGGGAACGTTCATAGGATATCACCACTACTCCATAGTATTACATAAAGCTTTTACGGGATCGATGACTACACTTTACTGTCTAAAGCATAAATCTAAATTTGAAATAATAAAGACAACAGGACAAAATTGTGGAAAAACAATTTCACTGACAATCACAATGCAGTTAGTTTGCAAACAAACCAAAAACAAATGACAAGGAATTACAATATAATTGCACATTGTTACTTCAGTTAGTATGAGCACTATGGCTAGAGTAAACAATTCGCTCTCCACTATGGTAATTTGGAAACAGTGCCCCCTGCAGCCTAGGAGGCCTGTTCTTGCGAGAGTTCCACATGCCACTGTTCCCCACCTCCAAAATCAGGCTGCATCTTGGCTGCCTCTTCCAGGGCCAGCGCAGTGTCTCGGGTCCTCACCAGGACCCCCTCCAGCTGGCCTCGTAGGTTCTGAATTGCCTCCAGTTCCACATCTAGAGCCTGTGTTTTCTCTGGGCTGAAGAGGACAAACAGCAGGATGAACAGTAGGTTATAATACATTGATTTGTTTAAAATGTTTATGATTACTTTTCAAAATTTGCCTAGTTAGACTATTGTTTCATATCTCTCCAAGACAGCTAAGCTGGTCTTCAGCAAGCACCTACCTTGCTTTTCGAGGCTGAATCTGGATCAGACTGTGGTAAATCTCCTTCTCGGCCTTTAAAGCTTCATTAAGTGTGTCGTACTCTGACAGAATCTGTGTAAACATGTGTAAGGATCAGATGCGTCGGCAGTCATAACCACTCCTACTCTGGAAAGTTCCTTAGACCTCAGCCGTGTAAGCAGGAGCCGACCTTGCTGAGACGCACGCTCTGGGTGGGGGTGTCCCGGTCACCTTCCTTGGGGGGCTTCTCACCCATCCTTGTAGCCAGGGCTGATCTCAGGGCCAACAGCTCAAGCTGCAGCCAAATGGGAATTCAAAAGCAATGGGCAGAGAGACATTAGAAGTTTGTCTTCGCTGAACAAAGACAGAAAGACTGAAGATGATGACGAATCCAGGATCTACCTGGGTCTCCTCCTCCTTCTTTAGGGCAAGATGAAGTTCCTCTTGTAGGGCTTGTAGGTTATTCCGGGCCTCGGAGTCATGGTCACATGACCCTGTTGGCACACCCAACACAGTAGAAGAGCTGGAGATCCGCTGAAGAACTAGCTGAGATGGCTGGGCTACCAAAGACTCTTCATGCACGTGTGGTTAAACCAAGAGCCAATCCCAATCAACAGCTCCTTGGCTAGAGTGTCAAGGCTGCATACTCACCTTCTACCGCCTCTCCTTGGTTGGACGCGACCATTGGCTCCACACGGTTCAGCATCAGTTGCTGTGATGAAGAAAAGTCCCTCAGCTTACATGGAAGGGGAGTTTACCTGAACATGAGGCGCCCCCCTCATCAGCAGCCCCCCCACCTGAATGACGGCCTCCTTCTCACGCAGTCGCTCCCGCAGGTTCTCGGCTTCGAGGCCTCGCCTCTCGCTGGATGCCAACTGCCACCGCAGCTCTCGTACCTCAGCGGCTCCCTCACCGATCACCTGACCCAGGCGAGCGGCCGAATCCTGAGGACAAAGGGAGGGAGATCAACCCTGTGCCTCCCCAGCCTATATGGTCACTGGAGTTTTAAGGAGTTCTACGGGCAGAACGAATAATGATTTGTTCAGAGAGACAACCAAGTAGATTGTAGAGGAGGCGGGACCAAACAACTAGAGGAGGTGGGACCAGGACATCTGATAGGTTGGTCCTGCCTTGTCTAGTTGCTTGGACCCACCTCCTCTACAATTTACAAAGAAAGGCGCTACCTGGATATATTGGTCCCTGGTGCCGATAGTGTTCAGCAGCTCCTGGACCTCGGCCTGGCGCTCCTGGGCCAGCTGGTTGCGGTCGGACAGGACCTCCCGGAACAGGCGGTCCTTCAGTTGTAGATGCCGGCCCAGGTCCTCCACCACCAGGGAGTGATTTGTGGAGAGCTTGCCGAGGAGGGCCCTGGTCAGCTCCTGTAACACACAGACACCCTCTCATCCTTTCATATCAAAGAGGTGCAGCTCCCAATGTCTGGCTCCTCTTCTGTTCACTGCTCCCCATCCTCTCCCCTTTGATCTAAATGCACAGACCATGCCTCCCGTACCTCCGCCTCCTCGCTGCGCTTCTCCAGTGAGGCCTGCAGCTGACCAATCAGAGCCTCGTTCTCCGCCAGACTCTGCCCGTGTCGCCTCTCCGCCTCCTGCTTCAGCCACTGGAGGCTCCTGGAAGCCTCCGTCACACGGTCCAGCTCCAGCTGCTTCGCCCGCAGCAGGCCGTCCAAACTCTGCATGGCAGACACACACAAGCACACGGGCATATAAACACACAGCTTCTGTGAGAGTCAAATTATCCATCCATCCATCCATCCATCCATCCATAATCCTAGTCATGGCTGCAGGGATCCCCGTTTTCACCACCCATTTGTTTCGATTTGGTAATTGACTGCCTTGGATGGAAAGTATTCTGTTTTTAAGTCAAAACAGACGAATGCTTGGTTCTAGTTGGCTTGTTAATGATTACAACCTTGCCTGTTATAGCAGCCCCTATGTGTTTGCTTGTTTTTGTAGTTTTTTTATGTATACGTTTGCGTTAACATTAAACAGTACAAACAAAAAAGTAACGTCCTTGTACTGAATACAAGTTTGTCTGTACTGTACATGCTTGCTGCTGTGGGCATTAGAATTTCCCTCTGGAATCAAATCAATTATAGTATATAATATTATTATCAGTTATGATTGTAATTACGAAGGAAATTCATGTCCTGTGATTCACCTTTGCTATCCAGGAGAAAACCCCCACAATGCGATATTTTGAGATCACGCTTTTGTCTTGACAGGCTTTGCACCGGCCAATTTGACGGTCACGCTAGTCAAGGTGCAAGCCGGCCTGCCCTCGGTACCGTGACAGTCTCCGTCTGTGTGCACGACCATCGGTACCGTGACAGTCTCCGTCTGTGTGCACGACCATCGGTACCGTGACAGTCTCCTCGTTGCCTGACAGGACACAGCGCAGCCTCTCCATGTCCCTGTCCTTCTCCCTGAGGGCCAGATGCAGCCGCTGGGCTTCTCTATCCTTCTCCTCCAGGCAGCGGAACTTCTCATCGATGGCATGCTGAGGAAAGAGGCGAGAACAGCCTAGTTCCAGAGAGACCCTTTATGTGAGCCCCCTGCTGGCAACTCACTAAACTACACTCCCAACAAGATCCAACAAATAAAGGTTCTCTACATGGTTTCTTTCTTTCTTTTGTCTAAATCTTAATTTGCAAGGCTAACTATATCAGTATCAGTTTTTTGTTGCCTGCTATCATAAGCGACCATAGGGGGCAGCATTGCTCCTACCTCCAGAGCTCGGTCCCGTTCCTTTATGCGTTCCTTCAGCTTGTCCAGCAGGGCATCCCGGGAAATGGTGGGTTCCCTCGTACCGTCCAACAGGTCCGAGTACTCCTGGGAATAAGGTGAGGGTGTGACCGATGCGAGTCCAGCGGAAGCCAAGCCTCCGTCTCACGTCCTGCACTTTTAACCCAATTGTACACCCATTTCTCCCATGTATAGCCTCTGCCACAGCATGGGGAGGTTCCTGGGTATGTAGAGTCACACTGGGGGGTTGGTACACAGCCCAAGGGTGAAATTATAACTCATAGAAACAGCAGCAGGGCCTCTTGTCCCTTTACTATCTGAGATGTTCCCGTAGGTCTCTCCTTGCATTTTCCTCAAGGACGAACAAAAGCCCACAACCCGACTACATCTTAATCTTTCCAGATCACATGCCGTTCCTCTTGTGTGTGTATCCTGTGTTGTTTCGTTCCATAGGTTGTTATCAAGTTTCCCGGCTTAACAAAAATGTAACCTGTCCAATATCGGACATCACCCGATATCCTGAACAGATACGTTTGCGTGAAATGAGATGCGTATTTGCACATCTGATAATAGAACACTGATGAATGACAGTATCAGCATCAGGCAACAAAGACACAGAAACAATAACATTGAAACAAAAGTGAACACAAAATGAAACCAAACGTTGCATAAAGAAACAAACAGTAAATGAATGAGGTTGATAAAGTCTATAAAATGACCAGGATTCTTTGTCTAGCGTGTGCTTATACTTTATGCCTAGCAGCCACTGAATAGCCTTATGGCTTCTAGGCAAGGGTGTATACAGGGGCGGGGCCATTGCCCCAGCAGAAAGCTGACTGGCCCTCGGAATGCCCCCACCCCTATCATTCACCAATTCATTGGCTAATAATAAGGTTTGTCTGTCTATAAGAATTACGGCCCACCTTATGTCCCCCAACAACTGTCCCAGTGCCATTTGCCTGAAGGGAAAGGGAGATGAACAGCCATGTGGGGCGTTCGCAATGTGCGTCTGCACCTATGGGACCGAACGCCCTTTCAGACCTGCAGCAGCTCTGCCTTCTTGCGCAGGGACATCCTCAGGGTGTGGATGCTCCTGTCCCGTGCCTCCACCTCCATCTGTGCCCAAGCCTCCTGCTCCTTCAGATGCGCCTCCTTCTCCTGCACAGCTGAGCGTGCCTGCTGAAGAGCAGAGCGGAGCTCCTGGGGAAAGGAGCCAGGCCGATTGTTATGTCTCCACCCAGACAATGCAGACAAGGGACGCGCGCCGGCTGCGCAGCTGAAGCAGCACACGGCCACAGAGAACAGGAGCGCCGCCCACCTGGTTGTGCAGCTCTGCAGCCTCCCTGTGTCGCAGCGCCTCCTTAAGGTCGACCTGGACGTGCTCGAGAAGGGACGCCAGGTCAGCGGCCCGCTGTTCGGTTTGCTTGTGGGCCCTCTGGGTGCCTTGCAGCTCCAGCTGCACAGAGAACAGGGAGCTCCGGAGAGTCAGAAGCTCCGCCTGCAGCTGGGACACCTGACCAGGCTCCGCCCCCTCAGGGTCCTGCTTCAGGAAGAGATACGAATGTCATTAAGTTGGGAGTGAAAAGTAAGAAGACTTAAGAGAAACTCTCAGATTATCAATGGCCATTTATTGCGTGACTCCAGGAGCTGGTCTCTGGTCTGATGATGCTGCTTGTTACCTCCTGAATCCACCTACAATGGACCTTCTTCCTCAGACGCATCATGGAAACCCTCCTTCACGTGGTGACAGTTTTGGCAATTCTTTTGTCCTCCACACTCAGCAGTGTGACTAAAGCCACCTCAACCTCTGCTTCCAAGTTTAAACTAGCCCTCCCCCACTGACACATAGCTATAAAAGATCAGCCCCATGCAGGGGTAACAGCCTCACCTCCACATCCATGGCATGAAGCGGCTCTCGGGGGCTCTGGATGACACAATCCTGCAGCTGCGGCTCCTGCCGCAAGGACTGCAGTTCCGCCTCCATATCCCTCAGCTTGTCCCGCAGCCTCTGGAGAGCCAATCACAGGCCGGCACAAGACAACCATCAGGATGGCAAAAAAAAAAAGTGACTCCACCCACTTTTTCAAAATGCGGTTGGAGCATGACTTAAGCAGGGGATTTTATTAATATGGGTACTTAACCGCACTTTTGTTCTCATACACCCGTTTTACATCATCCATATTGCCAAAGATTAGTTCCAATACTCAAGAGCAGAAGTACAGATGATGGTAAAAAATCCTTGGATCGTTGTTTCTGCCCCGCCTCAAATATCAAGGATACATCGGTTGCCTCCTCACCGAAGGAGACCAATCCCATGATTCATTGTACCTCAAGTTCGTTCTTGGAAGGCAAGTTAACAAGACCGCTCTCGCCAAGACCACAAACACAATCTTTCCATTCATGGTAATGAGACACACCCATGATGTCAATTTTCTTTAGCAAGATACCAAGACAATATGGTACATTCCTTTGACAGTGGCATTTATTGTTTGTTTACATCCCACCCTGTTCCTCACTTTAGGTCTCTGAGGAGGTCTATCCCCCCCATGAAGGACAGTCTGAGTCCCTCTCTGTGGTCAGGGCCTCCATACCTGATTGGTGGCCTCACTTTCCTGAATTTTCGCCTGCAGCGACTGCCCCTGCAGCTGTACCCTCTGCAGCTCGTCGACACACTGGCTGGCAGCGCGCTGGTACTGGTTCAGTTGGGTCTGCTGCTGGTCTATCAGGGTCTGCAGCAGAGAGGGAGAGACACACACACACATAGATGCAATGTCTAAAGCAGCCAAACCACGTAGCCAGGTCAGGCAACACAAGCCACAAGCCCAATAAACACCTTGATCCACTTCCATGGAAATTCCCACGTAGGATTCTTTCAGAGGCTTATTAATGGAACATTCTGGTTTCACGGACACACCTTTGTTGCCAAGCTTGACGGACCATTTTTGCCCATCAAACTTTCCTGGCAAACTTTCCAAAAACTTGAGCCTGCAGAGTGACAGTACAGTCTTGCTCTTTGTGAAACCAAACCTGCAAACATGTCACTGGATTAGTCAGGACTTAGCAAGGCTCACTTTTACATTTTCTTACTGGACAAAATGGGATTATGGGATCTGCTGACCTCAGCAGGGAAGAAGACTTCAAGCTACTCTGCATATCACAAGGTGTGGTGACAGATTGTTCTTGAGGAACCACTGGTAATAATGACTTCCTGTGTTATCTTTGCTGGGATTTTAGATCCTCTCTCTTAGTTTACTGGCATAATACTGGCAGAATACTTCAAGTCAATAATAAATTTAAAAGGAAGAATACTGCTAACAAGTAAGAAACATCTGCCAAACAATCAAGTGTCTATCAACACAAACATCTGCAGATGATTTTGGTTTCATTACATAAAAATTTCTATTAATCTGTTCATGTATGTCACAGATGTAACGACAATATTCACACATTGAGGGGTGAACCAAGCTCCAGTGGATAAAATTAGGAGCTAATTGTTATTTTATCAACCCACAACTTAGGAAAAGGTATGTTAAATCCTTAAAGTGCTTGAACTAGAATTACAATTAATGGCCACGTGGTCATGCATATGTTTACAATTCAGAGGAAGACTGTGGAAGTGGTGATCAAGACCACTCCACGCTGTGCTGAATCGAGTCACCGTGGAAACCGTAGTCATAGCGATCCAGATGATGCCAAGAGAGCAGCATCTTCGCGGCGACAGCAAACTAAGATGTGAATATGGACAGAACCTCTCTCTCACACATACACACACACACACACAAACACACAGCTCAACTTCCTCAACCAGAAGCAAAAACCAAAACTACATTTTATAGCCTGTAATCATGTATAATTATATATTATCATCAAGCTTAGAAAGTATAGATACAAATAAGAATCTATATAGAGAAATACTTATATTTCTAGGTAAATGGTGGCAGGCCGGGATAAGCAGTTAAATATGGAGGCTGCACAGTCAGACAGACATGAAATGATGTATGTCTTTCATCCTAGTCCGGTTTTCCTAGTCAAACATTAAAACTGAAACACCCCAGCTGGCCTTTGCATACAGATTGCGATCTTTCCACACTTCCGGGTTTTTTTCCCCCCAGCGAAAGCCTTCCGAGAGGCGGCTTTCCTCCGGTACCTGCTCCTGGAAGGGCGTGTACTCCATATAGACATCCTGCCAGGACTCCTCCAGCTCCGCCAACTCCGGCCACTCCCTCGGCTGCGGGCCCCCGTACGGAGTCTTGGCTCTGGCTTCCCGAGAGGCGGGTTTGGCCAGGACTGGAAGGCGGCTGCCACGCCGGGTCGGGACGGGCCTGTACGGGCAGCGTCTGGCCGGAGCCAGAAGTGCCTCCAGGTCCCCTGGTTCGGACTCCTCTTTCGGATCTCCCTTCCCCTCCCCACAGGGGGTCCGACCCACATCCACAATTACATCCAGAGACTCCACGGAGGAATTCTGGCTCAGCCCTCCCTCCTCCGGCGTTGTGTGTCCACCCGACGCTGTGCGCGGGGTCTCCTGTGTTTGCTCGATGCCCACAGGCTCTTCCTCACACCCGCTCGCCAGCGTACAAGCAGCCGGCCCGCAGGAGACGCTCCGGCCCGCCCGCCTGGGCACCCGACAGACGGCCTCGTAGTCCGAGTCGGCCACACGTAAGGTGGCGCATCCTCTGCACTTACGGGGCCTCTGGCCTGCAGTCTCACCCGTCCCACAGTGATGCTGGGCCACCTCCACCCCCTTCCCCTTCATCCCTTGCTTGGCCCAGGACTCGAACCCGGAGTTAGCCAGGTCCTCCTGGAGTAGGATGGCATAGCTGAGCTGGGCCGCTCCCACTGTTCCTTCCGCCTCCTCCGCCACGGCACCATTGCTCCTGCGGTACAGCGCGCTGACGTGCTGCCTCAGCCGCTCTCGTTCCTCCAGCAGCCTCTGCAGGCGCTCCAGGGAGAGGGCCTCCACCCGCACGATCACTGTGTCAAAGCGGTACATGCGCTCCAGCACGAAGGCACACTTGCTGCAGGCAAACTCGCCGCGGCCGTCACGGCACAGCCCCCGGCCCAGGGCATGCGACAGCAGCAGCTGCAGGTTCGGCCGCGACGCTGGGTGGAAGATCCAACGCCGCTGGTTCCCGCAGAGGTCACCGCTGCAGATCCTGCACTGCTCCTTCATCCCTGATCCTTAGCTCTTCCTCATTCGATTCAAAAACAAAAACTAATTCAGCAAAGGTTCATAGAAGTGGCAGCTTTATCCGGAATCGCTGGATCAGATTCATACTCAGTATCAGCTGAATTTGATCATATTTTAGTCCGTTTAAAATTCTTCCAGCGAAGTTTACAGTCAAAAAAATCAAATTTCCAAGTCATTTACCATTATGCAGATGTTCCAGTTCAACGAAGAGGTATAAAACATTCCAAAACTAGACCAAACAAATACCAAAATGCTGCTTCTTTAAAACCTTAGCTGTAGGCTCTCTGAATTAATACTGTTAATTACCCTCACAAACCTAAAAAAAAGAATACAGTGAAAGGCTAAATACAAATTTACATAAAGACATTAACGTTTGTTTTAAAGATGAGCATAAAATTAAGCACAGCCAAGTATTTGAGTCAGATGCGTGCACATAAAGCAGGACTGAATCCCCCTTTAATCACTCTTCCCTGATGAGGCGATTCACTGGATGCGGTCCATGCATTTCTGTAATGGAAATCCTGATGCATCAGCTTAAGTTCTCAATTGTGCGACCCAGGCTTCCTGGTAACACACATATCAGCTTTTTCCAGTCTCATCCTTCGTTTACCAAAAAAAAATCCGACTCTTTTCCCTCTTAGATCACTTTTTATGTCGCTGTCGCGTTAAGCTCGAACGCCAAGAGCTGCGCATTAATCAGCAAAGTAAATCTTCAATCGGACGCGGGCAAGCGGCTCGCTCACGCGGCATCTGACGGACAGGTGGCTGTTCCAGATGTTACCGATATGCTGAACCGCTGTCTTGCCACGTCCAAGTATTGTGCTTTAAATCTTCAGACTCGAAGCTGAAGAGCGATGCTCTCATGTGGTCCCCAAGGTACTCCAAGCATTGAACACCGTAACGATGTGGCAAGCAAACTGCACATTTGGAATGCACCATTACAGCAGCAGGGGTGCTCCGCTTGACGACTTCTCTAAAACGGTCTTTAAAATGCATTTGTGTGCCACTACTAGCTGGATATCAAAACACCCTAAAATTAAACACACTCTGATACACAAATAACGCGCGCAGCAAACCCGCGTAAACAAATACGACAAAAACACCCACATCCGCGGTCCCCCGACGCTGCCAGTTGATTCCACCCAGCAGCACAGCTTGTACTCTTACTGGCAGGTGAAATGTTCAATTGAGTTATTGAAGCCAGACCCAGCCTCTCTGTTTAAAACCGACTGAATTTTAAGCACTAGCTTTTCAAGATACGCTGTGTGTTTCACAATCTCCTGAATATTTTAAATAAAACATACCATACAAAATACAAACATACCATACAAACTACAGAACTCATTACCCTTACTTGTGACAAACAACAACCATATTGATTTGTTACAAAGAATCTTGGTTTTATGATGAACGCATGTATCTTACTAACTTTAATTGTTCATGTAAACTATGAATATTCAAATAAACACAAGCAGCAACATTATACTTGTTTTCAGATTATCTCAGTTTATTAATATGAGTCATTTCTTTGAATTGTTGCATTGTATTCATAGCTTGAGCTTTGAGCATAAACACAATTATGTTGTAAATATTAAGCCATCCAGCCATCTGCCCATAATTCATAACTGCTTATCCAGTGTAAGGTTGCAGTTAATCGTGATCCTATACTAGGATGCAGGGGATAGCCTGAATACAAAGCCAGTCGTTCATAAAGTATCTATCTATCTCATCATTGAAATAGAAATCAAAATTGTCTATTCTGTGAAAACAGTTATTCAAGCAAACTGGAAGTAACAGCCAAAGGCCCTCAAAGTTACTGTCCCTGAAAGGTCACAGGGGCACAAATATGAGCACAACAAAGGCAGGAGCAGGGAACGGGGAAGAATAACCATGGCAACAAAGAGGCATTAAGGCGGTGGGCGAGGGACAGAGGAGCCATCTCAGCTCCTAACAAGCGAGAACAAAGGAAATCTCATTAATTCAATTGTGCTGTGGTGCACACATCACTGGTAGTATATTACTTTTGGTGGATTGGTCTTGAATGCAGTGGCTTGGTGACAACATTCACGGGGCTCAGAATGTGAAATATATTAGGGCCTCCATGGTCATAATGTGTGTGTGTGTGTGTGTATATATATATATATATGTGTGTGTGTGTATATGTCCCAGGGCACATTGATTCAGAGCGGCCTGTACTCTGGCCTTTTCACAAAGTCATTTTCTCCACAGCTAACCCCACCCTGACTTCCACTATCTGACCATGAGGTGGCCTATTTGTTTACACTGATTATGCTGAGATTTCATTGTTTTTCCAAAGTTAGGGGTGATTTATAAGACCCCTCCATGCTCTGTCCAAATCTTTCACTCGCAGCTGCTTGAGGGGCCACATGAGAAAAGGCCCGTCCCCCGTAATGGGGGCCACAATTAAAAACCTATCCATTCTAATCAGTGTGAATTACCAATACATGCACAGCACTGTTTGTTTTTCTGCCCTCCAAAGACGCCAGAAACAGCGAGATTCAGTCACCGAGGGGACAGACGAATTGGACAGGGAGCCTTTTCCACCCTCAACCTTTGTGCTTTAACGTAAAATAAACAGCTTAATGCCAAGTTAACGTGTCTTTCAATGCTTTTATTTCTTAATGCAATAAAATTTAATCGCATCAGTTTGACACCCACAGAAACCGCAGCTGCTACAGCAAGCAGGACTCATTTAAGCTAAAAGGTTAAGCCTTCAAGCAGGTATGTGGCATTTTCTGTATGATTTATTGTGGAAGAGATGACAGATTTACTACTAGCCAGTACTGCCCTGTAATTAAACAGCCCTGCATGACTGCTGGAAAGCCAATAGGAACAGAAAGTACTGAGGTGCATCAGGTGGGAGGTCTCCTTTCAAGTACCTTTGAGCAAATACGGTTGGCAAGATTTGTTATATCATTTTTAGACTTTATTGATAATCCATGTTGAGTCTCTTACTAACCCTTGTCTCTGACCTAGTAATAAGTCTTTAAGGTCAGCAGCATTTGATCCATCTATATTCAAAGCTCTGTCAAAATACAACCCAGTTACAAACAGACATGGACACACACACACACACATACATATGAAAGGATCCCAAGGCACATAAACAGCTATAAAATCAATGCGGCATTGAGGATGACATTTAACGGTCAACTTTCGGTTGCTATAACAGTGTTTAGTTATATTCATGATAGGGTGAAAATGAACTCAGCTGAATGTCAATAATCTTCCAAGAATAAGGAATAAAATCTAGACCAGTTACAAATGTTGGTTAAACGGATTATCTTCTTCGCTTTAAAATAATGAAAAAAATCACAACAACTAGTCAGCTAGTTTTCTGTGAGGGGTTGGCGCCTCATCCTGGGTTGTTCCCTGCGTTGCGCACGTACCCTGAACAGGATGAGTGGTTACAGAAAATAGATGGATGGATAGTCTGATAATTTCAGAGAAAACTAACAGATAGCCAACACAAATTACACAAATGCTCATGATTGGTAATCTGGACAAAACAGGGCTAATACATAAAGACTTTGACATTTATCCAGTTATATAATCTCTTTTTGTCTGCACAGTACAAACACCTTAAGACCACATAATTCTGACTTCTTTGGGTGGAGACCTGCAGCCGAACCAGTCGTGTGTGAAATCTGAATCTCGTGAAACATTTGCATCACTGTACTGGACTCATTTGCAAGAGAAAAGCAAAAAATTAAAACACCGACTTAAGAGACAGCTGCCTCGGAAAGACACATACGGTCTGAACGCATCAAAACCAAAGTAGGGAATGTGAACGGACCCGGAGACAAATTCGCCGTTTTTCAAAAGAGAGGAAATGCGTTCAAACGAGCATTTGCAGACTGGGCTGAGCATTCAGGAACTGGGAAGTCTGGTCGGTATTAGATGTAATATAATGTATTTAGAGTGACTGGGGAGCAAGAAATTGCAATTACACTTTTGATCTATGAACGGCATGCTTATGCAGTGTCAAATATTTCCACTGTAAGTCATTTTGAAGTAAATGTGATCGATGTTTTCATCACCAAAATGTTATGTGATTAGTTTTAAATGATGGATTTTCAGATTATATATCCTCCACAGCACAAAATCACTTAATTTCCCCAAAATAAACACAGAAAAACATTATTAATTATATATTGTGGGCCCATTTGTAACAATAGTAGTCCACTGATAACATATTACTACAATATGTCAGTGTTATTACATGACCATACAGAGCAATTTGTATATTTATTGTGCTGAACATAAGTGATGTGTCTCTCAGCATGTTGGAGTAAGCAGGCAGAATAATGTTGTGATGGCTCTGCTCTCTGACAGGAGACACTCGAGCCCTTCACTTCCACAAATCACCACAAGGTGGCACAGTCTGATCACGAGTGCCCTAAGTTCAGCTGCCTGGCAAGCCGCCCGTTCCCTGACGGAGAGCATACCTGCATTTCCTGCTGGATGTGCAGCTTTTCCCGGCCCAGCTCGTCCTGGAAGAACTGTAGGGGATGGGATATCAAGAGAGGATTTACTCAGCATGCAATGTTGCCGTAACCAGGTTTTGGTTGGAAGGTGGGGACTAATGTTTTGGGTGAGAGGAGTGAATAGGTTTGGGGGGAGTGTATGAGTGAGTGTGGGTAGGCTGCCTTGGGGCAGATTTGTTAATTCTTAACTATATTGGTTTTAAAACACTGACTAAGAGTGGCAACTCTAAATTTCGTTGTGTTTAATACTACGTATTTTATGCAATGACAAATAAAGCTTCTAATATCTAATATCTAATAAGCACCTATGAGAGTGACAGTACTGAGTAGTGACAGTCTGCAGAAATACCACACTGTCCACCACTCTTTCTTAAGAAAGAGTGTTTATGTTTAAATATGCTTGGAGAAATGTACACATTTAATGGAAATTATAATGTTCACCGCTACAGTAAAATCTGGAAATATCAATGCATTTTTTAATGCAAATGACTGAATTTGCAATGTTCTTCAACTTTTTCACTTTAATTTTGGGTTTATTTAATGAACCAAACACCTAAGGACTTAGTGTGGAGACAGTGGGACGGCCTGTCAGATGCTCTGAGCTGACGGTGCGTCTGGAAGAAGCTGAAATGGAGGAGCGTGAGCTGTCAGTGGAGTGTGACCCCACCCTTCTGCTCTGGCAACTATGCTACACATGATAGGCTGCTTGTCAGGACCAAGCCCCCGCAACCCCGACACAAATATCTCTGAAGGACATCCCAGCAAGGATTAGGGATTACCATGCCTCAACTGGACATGTGTGCTTGTCTGTTTATAGCACCTGGAAACTACAGTATGTCCAGAATGCCTAAGAGCTGTGGAAATATACTGCATGAACCTGGTCTCGAGATCCCCTTTCAACAGTGAGAAGTAAACAGACACCCCCTTACAGGTCATTCAAAAAAGCTGCAAAGATGCAGAATGAGCGTGAAAGGTGATAAGCTTGCAGTGGTTTTCACCTTTCAGCGGCTTGACATTAGCAGACAAAATAACCTATAGAGTGTGAAATCTGACCCATATATTCAGAATTTTAACATTTGCTGATCAGCTTCACGTTAACCGTCCTTAATGAACAGTAACACCTCATCCCATCCCCCAAAAGTCAAGATCTTGGTCACAAGGGCACTCCCACAAACTCCTGGCGCTCACATGCTCAGCCATTTTCCCACCTGTTTACACGGCAGAGATATTGCCATGGTGATTTGGCTTAGGGGTACAGATACAGCATTCCACCCGTTGCCGTGACGTCATTGATAGGATGTTTGAAAGTCGCTTCTAGGTTTGCTGTAAGGACACCCAATCATGACGAGCTTAGCTGCTCAGAAGCGGGTGCAGAAGGGCCGCGCTCACCT